AGGCGGTGGGAGATCTGTACTTTGAGACTTGCAAGATTCTCTTAATATAGCTGTACAATGTAGTAGAATTAGCTTATGTGATGGGAAGGTGTCAGCCTTCCCATGTAGGTGAACTACATAGGAAGGCTGACATCTCTGTCCTGTTGCTTCCAGGGCTTCCTTCAAAACAGGAAAATGCCTGAAGCTACCTGGTTAATTGCAAGTCCCATTGAAGTCAGTTTGGCTTGCATTGAGCTGCATAATTAAATGTTTCTTTGCTCTGGCACAAGGAGGAGATCTGCTGGTTAGGATAAGTTGAAGAAAATGGTGCAACAGGTGCCGTAAACCTTTTTGGTTTAATTGCATGTTGGATTAAGCCAGCAACCAGTGGAGCAAGGTTCAACTCATTTCTTGTGAAGTATCGTCCATATTTTTCTTTTGACTTAGTTTTAATAATGGCATCATGGGAGCCACCCAGGATAATCTTTCAAGGTGTGTGAAGTGTGAGCTTTTTGTGTGAGGCCTGAAAAAGCCATTCAGCCAAAACATCAATGGAGTTGCAGTGTGTTGGAAATATTAGCTTTCTGCCTGGATGTCAGCCTTCAAGGAAGGCAGGCCAGGAGACAGATGTCACCAGAAATCATGGAACCCTGCTTTATAGATATAGGCCAGGGGTAGGCAACCTTGGCTCTTTTATGACTCGTGGACTTCAAGTCCCAGAATTCCTCAGCCAGGCATGCTGAGGGGAAAGGGAGAGGCTTCCAAGCTGAGCCATGCTGTCTGAGGAATTCTGGGAGCTGAAGTCCACAAGTCATAATAGGCCATTACAACCACAATTGGGACTGGAACTTCTGTTGCTAAGTGAGAAGCTTGCTGGTGGTGCTTGATTTTATGAGTCGTTAGGTAAATCACTATAGTCATTAAGTGAATCACATCGCTCTTAAGCAAATCTGGCTTCCCCCATTGACTTTGCTTGTCAGAAACTGTTTGGGAAGATTGCAAATGGTGGTCAGATGACCCTGGGAGGTTGCGGCCACCGTAAATACATGTTCTTTGCCAAGTGCCCGAATTTTGATCCTATGACCTTGGCGATGCTGCAACAGTCGTGTGAGGAATGGTTATTTACAAAATGGATAAAGATATCATAGTCGCTTTTTCTTAGATTTTTATCCTGCTTTTTCAAGCACAACTCAAGGCAGTAAATATCCAAATATTCCTTCCTATTTTCCCTGAAACAACCCCTGTGAGGACAGAATGACTGGCCCAAAGTCAACTCAACCAGCTTCCACGCCTAAGGTGCAACTAGAACTAACGGTCTCCTGGTTTTTAGGCCAGCAGCTTGACCATTATACCAAGCTGGCTCTCTTCTTCTTAATCTTCTCAACTTTTTCAATCTTGATCTTTTCCTTTAAAACTGCTCAATTTTTTTTTACCTTACATACTTTGCTACTTTATTTTTATTAGTCAATGATTATAATAAAAATATCTATTTATGGACACACCTCTTACATCTCCTTGGCCTGCTATAGAAAGCTTAGAGGGTGAATCTGTTTCCAGGATTTTCAGAAAGGTAAAAATATCCATCTGAGTCTTTTCCCCTTTCAAATTTGTGCTAAAAGATAAATTCGTTTGAACTCAATTGCTGGCAACTTCATGGATGCATCCCCTCAGGTATTCTTGATAGCATCATAGAAGAGAATCGGCATCTGTGTTTATTTCAGCCCCTTGTTAGAGACTAATTTTTACTCTCTTTCCTGTATTTTTGGTCAGTGCAGTTGTGTAGCCTGTTGTGGGCGAATTCCAGGGAATTGTGCAAGAGTTTTGGTCCGGCATTCCTGTGTTCAGAGCAGTTTTCTTCTGTACAGATAGTCATTGTGTGTGTGTGAGAGAGAAAAATTAACAGCTTTCAGAAAAGAATGGTTTTTCTGTTGTCTATAATTGCTGCCATTGAGCTTTTAGTTTTCTCCAACCTGTTGTACTCAGGATATGCTGGACTATATAGCCCCATCCAGTGCATTGGGAAAGCACATTGTAAAAGATTAGTAGACCACATATGTGACAAGGTTTAATCCTAGTTGCTGGAGATAGAGGCTGCTCCTCGACCTCATCACTTAACTCTGTCAATGTGGACAGAGGATTACAGGATTTAGAGTTGGGCACATCTGGAGGGGTCTGGATTAAGGAAGGCTATTTTGGTATGAAAGTCAGGTTAAGGACTGTTAGGAAACAGGGAGCATTTCCCAATCTGGAGACTACCAGAAGTGAGCCAGTTTGGTCTAGTACAGGGGTAGGCAACCTTGGCTCTTTTATGACTCGTGGACTTCAACTCCCAGAATTCCTGAGCCAACATGGCTCATCTTGGAAACCTCTCCCTTTCCCCTCAGCATGGCTGGCTCAGGAATTCTGGGAGTTGAAGTCCACGAGTCATAAAGCGGCCTAGGCCTAGGCCAGAGGTAGCCAACCTTAGCTCTTTTATGACTCATGGACTTCAACTCCCAGAATTCCTGAGCCAGCCTGGCTCAGCTTGGAAACCTCTCCCTTTCCCCTCAGCATGGCTGGCTCAGGAATTCTGGGAGTTGAAGTCCTTGAGTCATAAAAGAGCCAAGGTTGCCTACCCCTGGTCTAGTAGTTAAGGCACCAGGCTAGAAATCAAGGGAGTGTGAGTTCAAATCCTGCCTTAGCCAGCGACCCTGGGCCAGATTCTGTGTCAGGCACATTTGCACCTCGAGTTATGACAAAGGTCATTGGGTGTGGGTGTCCATATAAAATAACCTTGGTGGTGTCTACTCCAAAATAAATTTTACTGATTTGAACAGGACTTATTCACAGATGATCTGTTTGGGGGGGCAGAGAGCCCAGCCAATTTAGTCCATGAGCTGGGCCAATACGGCATGCTGAGCCCTCAATGAAACATAGAGATAGTGTTCATATAGCCTACAGGCAAATCAGTGGCTTAAGAGGATGGTCTGATTCCCACAGTTTGTTAAAATATTGGCTGGCTTCCCATACCACAACCAACTGTTCTCATTTTAGTCCTCTCCAGAGTATTGTGTGAACCCAAGCTATATTGTGCCATAATATCAAAGGAGTTTTCACATTGGCACGGTCAGGCTTTTATTTTCCGGCCAAGGGTGGTATTGCTTAAAGGGTGTGGTGTTGTCAGTTGCAGACTGAGAGTGACAGATGAGGCAGAGCCAAAAGTATGTTAACACCCTTTCTTTAATTTACTTTTAACACTTTTTCTCTTTCCCTTCCCAGACGCTCCTTCTGGGAATCTGACCTGATCTGTTGCACAAAGGTTTTGAAATTAGTTCAAAAACTGCTTTAATGTGGAATAATGAACAATTACTAGAATAATGATGTGTCTGCATAATTACTGAAATAGTGCTGTGTTAGTAGTATGTGACTAACCTAATGCGCGTTACACTTGGATACAATGTATGTAGCAAACTCTCCATTGTATACCCGTGAGAAACGAACCTAATGTATTACAGTGTGTATTTCAATGTGTATTCCTTTGTTCCTGAGAAAAGGAAAGTATAAAACTGAAGTCTGAACCCGCCCTCGGGGTTCAGAATTGCTTGTGTTATTGCTTCTGAACCTGTGCAATGCATCTCTCTGCTAAAACCCTCTGGAATTCGTAAGAGTCCTTTCGTTTTCCACAAGAGCTTCACGTTAAACCAAGAGTCATATGTACTCAGATCTACTTAACCTAGCAGGATATGATGATAACCATCACCAGGCACATAGAGATAAACAATATCTACACACCACTCAAAAGAGATAACCACAAAACCCCAAAGGAAGCAAAAGACCAAAATACCTTCTCACCAGCAATCAGTGCCCATATGAACAGAGATTTACACCAAGATTAACACTAGATCAACAGTCAAACTATACCCCAATCAAGGAACTACCAACTCAGACAAACATGCTAACAGTAAATCACAGCTAATCGAGGAACCACCAAGGACACTCCCACCAACACTGACAGGGCAGGCCATTAGGGTATAAAAATAAGAGCAGAACCCACTCCCTTCTAGCATTGATGATGTTATCTAGTTTGGTGATAGAACGTCTGCAAGAAAGCAAACAAGCTCAGAGAGTATCAAGTCGGCACAGTTCAACTCTGGGCTACATATATTCTCTTCTAATTGACATGAAAACTGTAATTGATGAGAGGGCAAAGAAGAAAAATGGATGCTGCCATTTAAACCAGGAAAGTGTTCTATTGCATTCCATTTCATTTCATTGTCCATCTCTGCAACCTCATGGTTGTAAGTATGTCTGGTGGTTTGTCCACTCTTGAAACCACAGTGAGGTCCTCCTCTTCTGCCTCACTGTCTGTTCACTCCAGCGAGACTGCAGCCACTTTGTATGATAAGGGAAGGCATTGAATAAATCTTTCTGAGTTTGCTAAAGCAGTGGCCCTCAACCTTTTCTTCACTATGGACCCCCTTTAAATACCTTTTGTGGCCATGGTCCATGGCCATGGACCACCAAGACTTAACATTTCTTCAAGCCTTCGCAGACAAGGCTTGAAGACAATATTGTGGCCCCTCAGGTGTGACAATATCGTGGCCCCCCCAGGTGTCCACAGACCACAGGTTGAGAACCACTGTGCTAAAGCATTTTCTAGAAATGAGTCTTCTCGGATACTGTACAGCAGACATGTCAAACACAAGGCCTGGGAGCCGGATGCGGCCCACGAAATGGTTTCATGTGGCCTGCGAAGCCATCCTGGAAACAGTGAGGAACGGCCCCCATTGCCTTGGCCCTGGCCCAGGCCGGCCGGGAGCCAATGTACAATTTTGTGATGGCCATCTATGCTGAAACGCATTCAGTCTTAGCTCCACAAGGCCATCTGGAAACAGCAAGGAACCAGCCCCTGCCGCGTCAAATTGGGTTTGGCTATTCCTGGCTAGCAAGGAAATGCCAGAGTTCCTGTGCAACAGTTCTGTTCTTCCAAAAAGTCATTCCAAGTTGTCTTGGTAATAATAAAAGTTCTTTTAATTTTATAGAGCTCCCTGAAAACTGGACGGACACCCGAGAGACTTTGCTGGAAGGGATGCTCTTCAACCTGAAGTACCTGGGCGTGACGTTGGTCGAGCAGCCCAAAGGAGAAGAATTATCTGCTGCTGCTGTCAAAAGGATTGTGGCAACAGTGAGTAACCAAGAGCCACTTTCCATGCACATCCCCGCTAACTGTCTCCTATTGCCCCTAAGCCAGTGTTTCTCAACCCTGGCAACTTTAAGATGGGTGGACTTCAACTCCCAGAATTCCCCAGTCAACCATGCCATGCTGGCTAGGGAATTCTGGGAGTTGAAGTCTACCCATCTTAAAGTTGCCAGGGTTGAGAAACGCTTCCCTAAGCCAGGGGTAGGCAACCTTGGTTCTTTTATGACTCGTGGACTTCAACTCCCAGAATTCCTGAGCCAGCCATGCTGAGGGGAAAGGGAGAGGTTTCCAAGCTGAGCCATGCTGGCTCAGGAATTCTGGGAGTTGAAGTCCACCAGTCATGAAGGGAGCCAAGGTTTCCTACCCCTGTCCTAAGTCCTCCTGTTCTAAGCGGTGAGCCTCCTAGACCAGGAGTAGGCAACCTTGGCTCTTTTATGACTTATATTTGCTTAATGACTGCATGGTTCACTTAACAACCATAGTGATTCGTTTAACAACCATGGCAAAGAAGGTCATAAGACTGGGTGCGACTCACTTAACAACTTCTTTTCTTAGCAATGGAAATCCAGGTCCCAACTGTGCTCATAAATCAAGGACTATCTGTAAAGTATTGTTTGCATACATATATAAGCACAGCACATATCCATACAAGCCTTGATAGATCCCCATTTAGCCAGTCCATTGGAACAGACAAAATGTTTGCACATCACTCCTAGTAATGGACAATTTCTCTTCATCTTTCAGATTTAACTGACCTTTCTTAGTAATAGGCCGTCCCTCCTTCCAAACAATCCTTAAAATTGAGATTTTTACCATAAGGCAAATTGCCATGCAAGTCACACTGTATTCACCTTGAGAAGAAAAGCATTTGTCAATTAAAAAAAAAGTTCAGGTGAAATTTTTCATTGCTTCTGTTATTTTTTCAAAAAGTGAAGTTTAATCGATTTTTTTAAAGGACGTTTTAATATAGATTTAGAAATCCTTTTTAATCCATTCTAAATTTAAATAAGTTTCTTCCTACCAAAACAATGTTTTTTTGGCATACTGTATATTAGAAATGAAACATCCATATTTGCTAAATGTTTCAGTATTTTTTTTTTCACTTCCTGTTAATTGTTGTATAACAACTAAAATCAGGTAGGAACAAATGAACTCTTAGCGTTCTTGATTAATTGTTGGAGACCTTTTGTCAAGACTGACAGTTGACACCTTTAAATTCACCCGAATTTCAGTTGTCGATTAAACCAATTAATGCTTGCAGTCCTGATTTTAACTCATGTTATCTGCTTTCTTTATTGATCTGGAGTTTTGTTTTAACGACTTAGTGAATTGTTGCATTTAGAAAAAAGACATAGTGTGATTGGAAGAGTTTTGCTCCTTCTTCAACAGTTTTTTGCACAATTGCCATCCTATAGCAGTGATGGCGAACCTTTTAGAGACTGAGTGCCCAAAAACCTGTCCCACCCCTGCCCCCCAACTGCCTTCCGTCTGCCCCCCGCCTGCCTGCAGGGCCACTCACTGTCTCCACGATCTCCCAGGCAGTCCAGCAGTGCTATGGCGGCCATGCCCTCCACCCGTGCCCACAGCATCAACTGCGTGCGACGAGACACGAGAGTGGAGTCTTCTTCCCGCTGCCTGGCTGCCATGTCCTTTGCTGCACTGCTCCATGCAGGCCACGCTCAGGGGCGACTCCTCCAGGGGAGCTGCTGGTGAGGAGGGGGTCGCAATGGGAGGCGGGGCTGGGGTGATGGCGCACGTGCCCACAGAGATGGCTCTGAATGCCGCCTCTGGCACGCATGCCATAGGTTCGCCACCACTGTCCTATAGAGCAGGGCTTTTCAACCTTTTCACCCATTGTACCACTTTTAGGATATCGCAATATCCGAGTACGACCAGTCGCCTAGCAAGGTGTCAAAAACTTGATGACCAAAAAAAAAAAAAGGAAAAAGTGATGAAATACAGGTAGTCCTTGACTTACAACAGTTCGCTTAGTGACTGTTCAATGTTACAATGGCACTGAAAAAAAATGCCCCCCAAGCTACAGCCGAGCAAGACACCTGCCTGCCCACCTGCCCGCGCTCTTCCTCCTGTCCAAGGTTTTCATTGTTGTGAGCATTTCTGTTGAGGATTGGCAGCGGGGATGGGGTGGGGGGTGTTTGGTTTTTATTCCCCCCGTCTGCTGGGTGGTTGCAGCAGGTTTTGGTCACTTCACATGACCCTGGGACACTGTGACCGTCATAAATATGAATCAGTTGCCAAGCATCTGAATGTAAATCACAAGACCCTGGAGATGCTGCAACATTCCAGCTGATCGGCGCTTCTTCTGGACTCAGCAGAAGCGCCAGGATCAGTGCTGCTTTCCAGCTGATTGGTGCTGATTCTGGCGTTTCCACTGAGCCCTGACAGCCTCAAAGAAGTGCTGATCAGCTGGAAAGCGGTACTGATCCTGGCGCTTCCGCTGAGCCCTGACAGCCCTGCAGCTCCAGCCATCTGTCGCTCAGGCTTGTGCGGTGCTGCCACCGTTCAGCTCATTCCCCTCCCCTGCTATCACTTTTCTAGGATGGTCATGTACCACCTGCTAGGTGCCAATGTACCATAGGTGGTACCTGTACCACTGGTTGAAAAGCCTTGCTATAGAGAAGGCCGGCACAACACATGGGTTGAGGGTTACACATAGCCTGCTAAACAACCTTGTGTGACCAATGGCACTTTAAAAAGTCACTAAATTTGCTGCCTTCACAAGACACTTTGCCAAGCATCTCCAGTCCTTAATGCCTCTTAGCCTTGAGAGGTGGCCCATTAAGAAGCACACCCAGGAGCACCGGCTCTGTCCTTATTGTAAGGATACATTAACAGAATCTTGCAGGTCTGAAATAAGTACATTTTTCCCCCCCCCCCTTCACAATCCAAGAAACTAGGGAGGGTCACTTCTGAGACCTTAGCTGCACTCCCATTACAGGTAGTCCTCAACGTACGACCACAATTGAGCCCAAGATTTCTGTTGCTAAGTGAGACCTTTGTTAAGTGAGTTTTCCCCCAATTTATGACTTTTTTTTTCACAGCTTTTAAGTAAATTACTGCAGTCGTTGAGTTAGTAACACAATTGTTAAGGGAATCTGGACTCCACATTGACTTCGCTTGTCAAAAGGTCGCAAAAGGTGTTCACATGACCCGGGACATTGCAACCGTCATAAATATGAGTCAGTTGCCAAGCATCTGGATTTTGATCTTGTGACCCCGAGGATGCTGCAATGAAAAAGGGCATAGGTCACTTTTTTCAGCATCGTTGTAATTTTGAACGGTCACTAAACAAACTGTTGTAAGTCGAGGACTACTGTATATCTGTTAGCTCAGCTGCCTCTTAGCTATCTGTTTTCTAATCTGCAGCTCTTCCTCTCCTCTCCCAAGGTCATTCCTGCAACCATCACAGGGCCACTCCGTAGAAATGAAATATAGAGAAAAATAACCATAAGACTTACTAAAGAATAAGAAATACTGAACAACAATGGAATGCTAATGGGCTGTGTTTGTAGCACTCACTTAACCTAGTTACTGAATTAACAGGCTTTTTCTGGGGTTGCGCAACACAGTGTGATGTAATTGGACAGGCTGGATTACACAACCCACTAAGCCAGAAACAGACCTAACTAGGATTTAAAAAACTAATCAAGCTTAGCATGTTCTGGAAGTGTGTTTGTAGATTTTTGCTTGAGCTATTAAGGATGCAGTGTGAACACAACCAGTAAGAGTTAAAAGGGGGTGCCAAGAAATGAGAGAAGAATGCAATGGAATGTCAGAAGAACACCAGCTCTTCCATGCTGCAACATTTAGTTGTGTGTTCCACTTGTTAATACTTCATTGTTGCGTGCTTGTCAAAGCGAAGTTGAAGAACGCTTGGTGGAGACATGCTTAACTAGCACTGAAAGCCCACCAGAATTCACTTCATAAAATAGAAGGTTACTCATAAAACGGTTGCAATTTTAGAGGATCAGACCTTAGTAAAATAGTGATAGATTATAGAAGGGGTTTAAAGTCTGGCTTGAAAGTTCATCTAACCTTGTTCTCTGTCAAATAAAGATGAAGGTTGTAAGCTTGGTCCTACCTAATGCCCTTGATAGTCAGGAGAATTTATAGGGAGGAAAGATTTTTCACGGTTTCCCCGAGTATTTCTTTAAGGATGCAAGTAGTTTGCTTTGCTTTGGCAATATATCTGTCTATAAGTGAAGAACAATAAAGGAAACTGCTTAGAAGTAACTCTAAGTGTCCTTCTTGGTTTGAGGGGCCTGACAGCAAGATTTTCAGTTGATTTATCTTTTTGGCAACATCTGAATGCATTCTTTTCCTCTGTTCCAAGGCAAAGGCCGTTGGGAAAAAACTCCGAAAAGTGACTCTGAAAGTATCACCCAGAGGGATTGTTCTCAGTGACAGCATAACGAATGAATCAATTGAAAACGTGTCGATATACAGGTACGCCTCATCGGTACCTTTCAAATCTTTAAAGCAAGTATTTAAGTCTTCTCCTTCCCAGAAGACTGTTGGAAGAGTTAAGGTTTGAAATTGTAATTAATATTGATAGGATATCCTTTTTTTCTCCCTTTCTCTTATTTACATTTAATACTCTAAGGCAGTGTTTCTCAACCTTGACCATGTTAAGGCATGTGGACTTCAACTCCCAGAATTCCACAGCCAGCATTGATCTATGGGCTTGTTTAAGAACAAGGAATTTTTCAAGGACCTCCTGAAAGCAATTAATGAGGCATGTAATCCTTGGAGGGAACCAGTGGCAAAGCTCAGCCTTTCTGGAGAAATAACAGACCCCCTCATGACTGCCAATTTTTGACAGCACACTGAACACATTTCTGCGGCAAATCCCCATGTGTTTAATGGACCACTCTGGGGCAAAATAGTTCTTCCTGCTATTTTTTTCCCTAAATAGTTCTTGAAATTGAAATACGGTGCATTTCTCTCTTTTCTTCATGTCTTTTTTTGTAATGGAAAATGAAGGATGGGCTGACTTGTGAATGACACTGAATATGAAATGTCTTGAAGGGATAAGTCAACACATGCGCGTAAAGTTATAGGTTGATTTGTTTACTAAGGTAACATTTTGTCCATTTTTGATTTTCAGTATAATTCAAATAGTAAGAGAAGGGGGAAAAATTGTTTCCTTTGTTAAGGCTTATAAACAATTTTATTTTTATATTTTTTTGTGTCCTATCTTTATGTTCACTGAAGATAGTGAACATACCTCATATTCTTCCCTCCTCCTATTTTCCCTACAGCGACAACCCTGTAAGGTGGGCTGGGCTGAGATAGAGTGACTGGCTCAAAGTCACCCAGCCCACTTTCATGGCTAAGGCAGGACTTGAACTCACAGTCTCCTGGTTTCTAGTCTAAATGCTTTAGCCACTAGACCAGGGGTAGGCAACCTTGGTTCTTTTATGACTCGTGGACTTCAACTCCCAGAATTCCTGAGCCAGCCATGTTGAAGGGAAAGGGAGAGGTTTCCGACTGAGCCATGCTGGCTTAGGAATTCTGGGAATTGAAGTCCACAAGTCATAAAAGAGCCAAGGTTGCCTACCCCTGCACTAGATCAATCTGCCTTCTCACTTGACCAAACTGCCTTTCATCAACTATGAAAAATCAACAACTATCAACTGTCATAGAATGGTGCTTTTTTATGTTTTAGGAAACACAGAATCTTTTTGTTTTATTTCATTATTTTGATATTGGGCTTTTCAAACAAACACTTGGGTCCCAAACAATCTCCCATAAGTAAAAAATTCAATATAATGCCAGTGGCCAACTCAACATATCAATGAAAAAAGTGACTCAGGCCCTCAGGCTTAAAACCTAAAAAAATAATCAAGAGACGTAAGAAAAAAGTCACCACACATCCAGAAGTGTATATGTGTATGTCTGTTGCAGGACCCTTGACCACAGGCAGGGCTGTTGGATATTGCAGGAGACCAGTGTCTTTGTTTGTCTCTGAATAAGAAGCTATAGATCCTGATAAGTTTGACTTGTGCATTTTCAAGCTGTAATCTCTCGTGGAGATTCTTTTTGGAAGACAATAAAGAATTGGCAATGTTGCAGCAGTAACTGCTGCTGCTTATTTGGTACAGTAGATGGATGAGATCAAGTTGGTTCTCCTAGGACAGTGTTTCCCAAACTTGACAATTTTAAGGCATGAGGACTTCAACTCCCAGAATTCCACAGCCAGCAATGCTGGCTGTGGAATTCTGGGAGTTGAAGTCCACATGCCTTAAAATTGTCAAGTTTGGGAAACACTGTCCTAGGATGCTAGAGGGAAGGGAAGGGAGATACCTGGTGATTTGCTCTTCTGGTCAAGAGCCAAGGGTAGCGTCTCTGATCATCGCTTTGGCAATCCCTGACCAATGGTTGAGTTGTGGGCGTGGTTTGGATAATTTTTGGAAGTCTAACATGGCTTAGCTATCAATGCGCTGAGGGTCTTTCCACCCCCACTCCACACCCCAAGGTAGGGGTCTTCAAACTTGGCCCTTTTATGACTTGTGGATTTCAACTCCCGGAATTCCTCAGCCAGCCTCCATTTTGTTTGCTAAATTTAAGACAGGGGTCTTCAAACTTGGCCCTTTTATGACTTGTGGACCTCAACTCCCAGAATTCCTCAGCCAGCCTCCATTTTGTTTGCTAAATTTAAGACGGGTCTTCAAACTTGGCCCTTTTATGACTTGTGGACTTCAACTTCCAGAATTCCTCAGCCAGGCACATTGGCTGAGGAATTGTGGGAGCTGAAGTCCACAAGTCATAAAAGAGCCACGTTTGAAGACCCCCTGCCCCAAGGAATGATCAGGCTGTCTTGATCTTGCGGTTTAAAGTGATATAGGTAGTCCTCGACGTATGACCATAGTGGAGCCCATTATGTTGCGAAGTGGGATAGTTGTTAAGTGAGTTTTGCTCCATTTTATGACCTTTCTTGCCACAATTGTTAAATGAACCACTGCAGTTGTTAAGTTAGTAACACGGTTGTTAAGTGAATCTGGCTTCCCCATTGACTTTGCTTGTCAGAAAGTCATAAAAGTGATCACACGGCCCAGGGACACTGCAACCGTCATAAATATGAGCCAGTTGCCAAGCGTCTGAATTCTGATCACGTGACTGTGGGGATGCTGCAATATTCTAAATGTAAAAAATGCTCATAAGTCACCTTGTTCAGTTGTAACTTTGAAGAGTCACTAAAGCAGAGGTCTTCAAACTTGGCCCTTTTATGACTTGTGGACTTCAACTCCCAGAATTCCTCAGCCAGCCCTCAGGGCTGGCTGAGGAATTCTGGGAGTTGAAGTCCACAAGTCATAAAAGGGCCAAGTTTGAAGACCCCTGCACTAAAGGGCCATTGTAAATTGAGGTCTACCTATAAATACAAATACATATATTCTACTTCCTGCATTTTCTTGCCTAGTTCTGGAAAACATTATTGAAAGAGAGGAGAGCTGTGAAATGGTGAGGATGCCCCTCAGACCATGGGCTGTATGTTATCTTCCCAGTTGCCCGCATTTGTTCTCTTGGTGTTTAAGATTCCTTTTTTGGAGGGTGTTCTTTACTGCTCTTCCATCAGTTCCTCTTGCCATACGTATCAAAGGAGTTGCAGAGCTGGAGCTTCAACATGAGCGATCTCCAAGTGAACAAGAGCCCAGAGCGCCCCCCCCCCCATTGGATGTGCCGCCTTTAAAGTTGCCTTAGAAACTAAATGCATTCCAAAGCAATGTCATCTAAACACTGGCAGGCGATAAATCTCTCCCTCCCACATCGTGGTGAACTGTTGCTTCCATTCCCTTCTTCTGAGAAAGGTTAGCAGATTGCTACGTCTGCTTTGTCCGATAAAAAAAAAAAAAGGCAATTCAAAAGATACACTGACTACGTTAAAGTTTGTTGTGGCTGTTACGGAGAAAAGAGTGTTGAATGTTATTTAGTCCTTTAGGACAGGGCTTTTCAACCTTTTCACCCATTGCACCACTTTTAGGATATGGCAACATCCGAGTACCACCAGTCGCCTAACAAGGTGTCAAAAACTTGATGACCAGAAAAAAAAGGAAAAAAGTGATGAAGTACAGGTAGTCCTTGACTTAGCAATAGTTCGCTTAGTGCAGTGGTTCTCAACCTTTTTAATGCCGCGACCCCCCAACCAGTCGTAAGTCGAGGACTACTCAACCGGTCGTAAGTCAAGGACTACCCAACTGGTGCAGCACCGTTTGCAGAATGGGACTTTTGGCGGGCTCAGCAGGGCAGAGACAGCCTGGACAATTCCTATTGGCTTTTGAAAGCCAATAGAATTAGACTCTATTCAAGAGAGTCTATTCTATGGGCTTTCAAAAGCCAATAGAATAAAAGGGAGTAGCACAGCTAAGGAAAAGGAGGAAAAAATGGCGGACTGCGTTGTTTGGCGACCCCCGTGAAATGGTGGTTCGACCCCCAAATGGGGTCCCGACCCACAGGTTGAGAACCACTGGCTTAGTGACTGTTCGAAGTTACAGTGGCACTGAAAAATGTGCCCCCCAAGCCACAGCCGAGCAAGACACCTGCCTGCCCACCCGGTGGCGCTCTTCCGCCTGTCCGAAGTTTCCATTGTTGTGAGCATTTCTGTTGAGGATTGGCAGTGAGGGTGGGGTGGGGTGGGGGGTGTTTGGTTTTTATTCCCCCCGTCTGCTGGGTGGTTGCTGCGGGTTCTGGTCACTTCACATGACCCTGGGACACTGTGACCGTCATAAATATGAATCAGTTGCCAAGCATCTGAATGTAAATCACAAGACCCTGGAGATGCTGCAACATTCCAGCTGCTCGGCGCTTCTTCTGGGCTCAGCAGAAGCGCCAGGATCAGCGCCGAACTGTAGAAAGAAGTAACACTGACATTTCATGAAAACAACATTGACCACTTTAGATGATCCCTTTCTGTCTGTTTAATCATTTTCCCCATCTGGCACATAAAAATTAGAATTTGGCATGATTAAAAGAATCCTCCCTGCAAGACATTGTGGGAGGATCACACACCTCTGCAGTGGAAAAAAACCCTTTATAAAAGAGCAGGATTTGCCACTGATGCTGGAGCTTAAAACAAGGGCCGTTTCTCTCTTATTTGGCCTCTCATTTTAAGAAGGAAAAATAATGCTCCTTTAGAAAGCAGCAATTTGGGGAAGATGAATAGCGATTTGTTTTCCCTTATTCCCCCAATATTAAAAGATCTCCACTAGAAAATTCTATCCCTCCATCTGCTTTGATCTAATAAACTTTATGAATCCGTAGCTGAGCTTTCATTTTTCTCATTGGTATAGCAAACTTTTACAATGAAGCCTCATATTAAACATTGAAGTCAACAACTACCCAGCTTCTGCTTAAGCTTCTAGTCCAGTGGTTCTCAACCTGTGGGTTGGGACCCCATTTGGGGTCGAACGACCATTTCACGGGGGTCGCCAAACAACGCAGTCCGCCATTTTTTCCCCCTTTTCCTTAGCTGTGCTACTCCCTTTTATTCTATTGGCTTTTGAAAGCCAATAGAATAGACTCTCTTGAATAGAGTCTAATTCTATTGGCTTTCAAAAGCCAATAGGAATTGTCCAGGCTGTCTCTGCCCTGCTGAGCCCGCCAAAAGTCCCATTCTGCAAAAGGTGCTGCAAGTTGTCTGCAGCGAAGGTGAGCTGTCTGGAAGCTTCCACCACTCCCTGCTGAGCAACTACTAAAAATGTAAGTAAAAGAGGGCCAGGGGTGGGAGGTGGGAGGCCGGCGGGCACAGGGAGGGTTGCTGGCGTGCGTGGGGCCTGGCGGGTGCCTTACCTCCCTTGGGCTCGGCCAGCTGGTGTCCCAGCCAGTGGTCAGCCTGTGCTATCTCTGACGCTTGCCAGCTACACCTCGGCCGGCGCAGGGGGCGGCACCACGCATGCGCGGCGCTCCCGGGCAGGGAAAGTCCTCAACTTACGACCGGTTGGGGGTCGCGGCATGAAAAATGTTGAGAACCACTGTTCTAGTGCTTATGGTTTTAAATATTAACATGAAGAAATGGCCAGTGAAGACCATGTTAGAAATCAAATTTAAAATGCGAGTTGTGACTTTCACAGTCTTGATAGTTTTTTCCCCCCAGGTTTCACATCTTAAAAACCATTGAAAGGCTCTCCTTGGCTCAAAGTGCAGAGAAGCTAAGTTTGTGTACATCCCATTTTACAAAAAGCAACAATGGTATTATTAAAATGCCTATTTTTTTCTTTTTGCTTTGTCCCACTGATACTGGGAGATGGTTAAAACATCTAAACCAGTGGTGGCAAACCTATGGCACGGGTGCCAGAAGCAGCACTCAGAGCCCTCTCTGTGGGCACGCATGCCATCATCCAAGTCCTAGGCCTTCAGCTGGGTTTTATAAAACTTTTCGCTTTAGGCCTCAACCGCTGTGTGCAAAAAAAGAAAAGGTTCAATCAATCAGTCAATTTCAACTTCTCGCGGGAAAAAAAAAGATCTTGCAAAGTTAGAATTGATTGATTGAACTTTTTAGTCCCACCCAGTCTGCAGTTACCACCGCAGCCACGCCCACCCAATGGGCCACGCCCACCCGGCACGTGACGATGCATAAGTAGGCTTTGGGTTGCAGTTTGGGCACTCGGTCTCTAAAAGGTTCACCATCACTGATCTAAACATTGTAGAGCAGGGGTCTTCAAACTTGGCAACTTTAAGACTTGTGGACTTCAACTCCCTGAGATGGCTTCTGAAAAGCAAAGACGATGGTGGAAGCCAGATTTGCTTAACAACCTCATGATTCACTTATCAGCTCCAGTGATTCGCTTAATAACTGTGTAAAAAAAAATGTCTATGGAGATTCTCCGCCATCCATGTCATGGTTATTCCAAAGGTGCTTTTTTAAAAGGCAACTGGACTTTCTTGGGTTTTTTTCTTGAAGATGTTTTGCCTGGCAAAAAGGTAGTAAAGTCAAGCATGATTCCCTTACTGCCTTATCAATGTAAATTCGGGTGGAAATTGTGGTTGTAAGTTGACTACACAAAAACAAGGTCCAGTTCCAAGTTTCTTTCTCACGCTTGCTTCTACCTCTGGATCGTACAGTTGCTTCTCCTTAATGGCTTTTTGGTATCTTTTGATACTTTTCTTGAGATCAGCTCTACGTTCCTGATCAATAGGAACTTGTAGTATATTGGTTGGCTGATTTTTGAACCAATGGGTAGGCTTTCTGTTTGGGCAATAGTCTAGCGCAGTGATGGCGAACCTTTTAGAGACTGAGTGCCCAAACTGCAACCCAAAACCCACTTATGCATCGTCGAGTGCTGGGTGGGTGTGGCCCATTGGGTGGGTGTGGCCCATTGGGTGGGCGTGGCCCATTGGGTGGGCGTGGCCCATTGGGTGGATGTGGCCCATTGGGTAGGCATGTCTGCGGTGGTAACGGCAGACTGGGTGGGACTAAAAAGTTCAATCAATCAATTCCAACTTTGCAAGATTTTTTTTTCCCCGCGAGAAGTTGAAATTGACTGATTGAATTTTTTTTTTTGCACACGGCAGCAGAGGCCTGAAGCGAAAAGGTTTTATAAAACCCAGCTGAAGTCCTAGGACTGGGGCAATGGTGTGCGTGCCCACAGAGAGGGCTCTGAGTGCTGTCTCTGGCACCCGTGCCATAGGTTTGCCACCACTGGTCTAGCATTCAGAAGATCCCCATGTGTCCGTCTCCGATTCTCGGTAAATGCATGTGAATGTGAACAGTTATCCAGATAATCAGCCCAGACCTAGCTAGAAAAGGTCATGTTTAGAATTTTAAATGACACTTTAATAAGGAAAACAGGAAAATCAATAGGCAGCCAATTGCAGTGGTACTGTAAGCATTATGTGTTTTGGCTGCTCAGCTCCCACACTTGAACAGCTGTGTTTCCAAATCATTTCAAGGCAGCTTCCCGTCAAACACATTGCTGTGATCAAGAATGTTAGTGGCTGCTTAATGTCCTCCTCATAACGGGAACAGAAGAGATTATTTTTAAGGCAGGAATGTTGAATCTGAACACGCTGTTGGAGCAGCTGACAAAAGAAATGGAATTGTATTTTTAAATGATCTTTCTAGCTCAAGGGTGAGGCACCATTGTTGCTGATTTGCCTGGGAAGCTTTAATGTAGGAATTTTTATGAATTTTCCTTGAAAATGATGAAGTGTGTGTCATGTCAGTGTGTGATTAGCTGAAAGGATGTTGGTAATTTTCTTCGCCTTGCTGATTTCTTAATATATTTTCTCTTTTCTTTTGTCTCTTTCCTCCTTTCTCTCCTTTCTCTTCCTCCTCCTCCTCCTCTTCCTTCTCCTTCTCCTATTTTTCCTTCTCCTCCTCCTCTTTCTGCTTCTCCCTTCCTTCCTCCCTCCCACCGTCCTTCCTTCTTTCCTTCCTTCCTGCCTGCCTTCTTTCCTTCCTTCCTTCCTTCCTTCCTTTTTTCCTGCCTGCCTTCTTTCCTTCCTTCCTTCCTTCCTTCCTGCCTTCCTTCCTTCCTTCCTTCCTTCCTGCCTTCCTTCCTTCCTTCCTGCCTGCCTTCCTTCCTTCCTTCCTGCCTGCCTGCCTGCCTGCCTGCCTGCCTGCCTGCCTGCCTGCCTTCCTTCCTTCCTTCCTTCCTTCCTTCCTTCCTTCCTTCCTTCCTTCCTTCCTTCCTTCCTTCCTTTTCTCAATGTTCACAGGATATCCTACTGTACAGCAGACAAAGTACATGACAAAATATTTGCCTACATTGCCCAGAGTCAGCACAATGAGAACCTGGAGTGTCACGCTTTTCTCTGTTCCAAGAGGAAAATGGTCAGTATTCAGTGGAAAAGTCAATGATGTGTTTGTTCATTCAAACCACCTCCATAGCGACCCATTGATTCACTTTAACAATCTTAGCAGCCAGTTTACGCCGGTGGTGTTTTCTTAACAACCGCCTCAGAAAAAGGTCATAAAATAGGGTCACTGACATGATCAACCTATTTTACGACTGTGGGGACTCCATTGCAGTTATAAATTGAGAACTACCTGCACACGGATTTTCATTTGGAGGAGGTTAGGTTTTGTTTTGTTTGCTTTGTGAGAATGCCTTGGTAAGGCCACACTTGGAATACTGCATCCAGTTTTGGTCACCACAATGTAAAAAGGATGCTGAGACTCTAGAAAGAGTGCAGAGAAGAGCAACAAAGATGATTAGGGGACTGGAGGCTAAAACATATAAGGAACGGTTGCTAGAATTGGGTATGTCTAGTTTAACAAAGAGAAGGACAAGGGGGGACGTGATACTGACAGTTAGAACAATTAACCAGTGGAACAATCTGCCTCCAGAAGCGGTGAATGCACCAACACTGGAAGTTTTTAAGAAGAGACTGGACAGCCATTTGTCTGAAATGGTGTAGGGTTCCTGCCTGAGCAGGGGGTTGGACTAGATGACCTCCAAGGTCCGTTCCAACTTTTTTTTAAAATTATTATTATTATTATTATTATTATTATTATTATTATTATTATTATTATTATTATTATTATTATTATTATCGATCATCGCACAGTCAGCCAGATGTTCAGACTGGATTTGGCATTTTGTCTACCTATCGAGTCCTTACCCAGGACCTGGGATAGGCAGATGTGGATGTTTGATGGTATTACAGATATCGTCGCAGGATGGAAGCAGTTCCTAATAAGGCCGCCTTTTGCAATTGACTAATAGCGAATTTGTCAATGCCAATGGTGTTCAAGTGGTGCTCCAGTTGTTTTGGGATTGCACCCAAGGAGCCTATGACTATTGGTACTACCCTTGCTTGCTTTTGCCACAGTCTTTCTATTTCTATTTGTAGGTCTTTGTATTTTGTTATCTTCTCCAGTTCTTTCTCTTCTATTCTGCTATCTCCAGGCACTGCCACGTCCACTATCCAGACTTTTTTGTCTTTCTTATCGACAATTGTTAAGTCTGGGGTGTTATGTTGCAGGTGCTTATCTGTTTGAATTCTGAAGTCCCAGAGCAGTTTAATTTTATCATTTTCTATGACTTTCTCTATTTTATGATCCCACCAGTTTTTGCTTACAGGCAAATGATATTTTTTGCAGATCTTCCAATGCACCATTGTTGCTACTTTGTCATGCCGCTGCTTGTAATCAGTCTGTGCAATCTTCTTGCAACAGCTTACCAAGTGGTCCACTGTTTCTTCAGCTTCTTTGCATAGGCGGCACTTACTGTCTGTTGCTGTCTTCTCAATTTTGACTTTGTATGCATTTGTCCTTAAGGCTTGGTCTTGTGCAGCCAGAATTAGTCCCTCGGTCTCTTTCTTCAATTTTCCTGCTCTTAGCCATTGCCAGGTTTTATTATTATCTGCTTTCCCAGCTATTTTTTTCATGTATTGGCCATGTAGTGCTTTGTCTTCCCATGCCTCTATTCTGTTCTTCATTTGGTCTTTCCTGTAGGCCAGTTTGGTCTCTCCAGTAGTTAGTAAGCCTTCCTGATATACTAATTTCAGTGCATCTTCATCATTGTTCTTCAGATATTCTTCCAAAGCCATTTTTTCTTCTTCAACCATCTGATGTACTTGTAGCATTCCACGCCCACCTATTTGCCTTGGTAGATAAAATCTATCAATGTCACTGCGTGGATGAAGGGCATGATTCATTGTCATTATTTTTCTGGTCTGCCTATCCATTGCTTTTAGTTCTGCTTGAGTCCAGTCCACTATTCCAGCTGTGTACCTAATGACTGGGATTGCCCAGGTGTTGATTGCCTTTATGGTATTTCCTCCATTGAGTTTGGATTTTAAGATCTTCTTCACTCTCTTGATGTATTCACCTCTAATCTTTTTCTTGACTTCAGTGTGCTTGATGTTGTCAGCTTGAAGGATACCCAAGTATTTGTAGTACTCTTCCTCATCCAGACTCTTAATGTTATTTTCGTGGGGCATCTTGATTCCTTCAGTTTTCATTATTTTTCCTTGTTTGATAGTAAGTGTGGCACATTTGTCCAAGCCAAACTCCATTACAATATCTTGGCTATATATACGGACAGTGTTGAGCAGCGATTCTATTTCAGATGATGTTTTTCCATACAGCTTCAGATCATCCATGTAAAGGAGGTGGGATAGTCTGGCAGATGTTTTTGATGTTTGATAGCCATGTCCTGAGTTATTCAGTATTGTTGACAGAGGAAACAGTGCAATAACAAATAGTAATGGTGATAATGAATCTCCTTGAAATATTCCTCTCTTGATATTAACCTCTCCCAGTCTCTCACCATTGATCTGCAACTGTGTCTTCCATTGTGCCATCGATCTTTGCACAAATTTTCTGATGTTTCTACTGACTCCTGTTATTTCTAGGCACTTTATTATCCAATCATGTGGCAGAGAGTCAAATGCCTTTTTGTAGTCAATCCATGCCACATTCAGGTTGGTCTTCCTTCTCTTGCAGTTTTCCAAGATCATTTTGTCTATTAGGAGTTGATCTTTTGTTCCTCTGCTATTGGGGCGGTTTCCTTTCTGCTCAGGTGGAAAGAGATTGTTTTCAACTAGATGCTGTTGTACTGCATCAGCTACTACACCAGTTAGTAATTTGAAAGTTGTTGGTAAGCAGGTAATTGGCCTGTAGTTACCTGGTGTTGCCCCTTTTGCTGGATTTTTCATTATTAGGTAGGTTTTCCCAGTTGTTAGCCACTTTTCAATTTCTCCTCCTTGTAGTATATTGTTGAACTGTTTGGCAATGAGTGGGTGTATAACAGTTAGATGTTTCAACCAAAACCCATGCAGTTCATCTTCACCTGGTGCTGACCAATTTTTGATTTTCTTTGCTCTTTTTTCTACCATTTTTGTTGTTATTACTAGTTCTTTCATTTCAACTTCTGTTTTATTTGCATCCACCTCTTTTAACCAAGCCACATCCTTGTTGTATTTCTTTGGGTTATCCCATATCTGCTTCCAGAACTGCACTGTTTCTTCCTTGTCAGGTACTGACTGATTCCTTGCAGTTTCTCCATTGATGGATTGGTAGAAACGTTTCTGATTGGATTGAAATTGGAGGTTCTGCCTATAGTTTGCAATTCGAGCTTCATATCTACTGATTTTCCTGGCTATAGCTGTTATTTGTTGCTTTATTATTTCCAGTGCTTCCTTGATCTTCCTTGTTTCTAAGTGGTGTTTCTTGATTAGGTATTCTTTGGTCTTCTTGTTCTTCAGCTTCTTTTCTTTCATCTGTTCTAGGTAGCTTGCATGTGATCTTAACTTGCTGATCTTATTTTCTTCTTATTATTATTATTATATCAAGCCTCACATCCCACTCACAAAAAGACAAAAAATCTTTCTAATTTCAGTGCGATTTTCAAATGTCCTCGAAAACTTTCCCAGCAAAAGGTGTCTTCTTCCTTCTCTTTCATTTTTTCTCCCTCGGACACCCCCCCCCAAAAAAAGCCTGCTAATTTGACATTACAGAAATATGAAGAGAGGGTGCACGTCTTCAGGGCATGGACTCTGTGTATCTATTTTTCACATCTCCAGCATATAATTACTCTGTATTTTTAGCGCCTGGGCAATTCACAACATTATCTGGGTCTATTAAACTTGATTTGAATGTGACAGCTGAAATTGTAAACAGCTGTGAAGAGTTTCATACTGAATTACCATATTTAAGGAGTTGGTGGTTGTTTTTTTTTCTTTTTTCCCCTGATAAAAAAGTGTTTTGCTCCTCCACCAAAGATTTAAATGGCCCTGACAAAAATCTCTTTTTTCCCTTTCATGTCACACTGGCACAGGTACAGATTTTGTGTCTGCTTCTAAACAGCCCCCATCCCTACGGTTTGTCCAGCATGCCAGCCAGCTAACGGATGGGAGGTTTTACAGATTGGGATGCTAGTTTCTCATCAACATCACACAACTGGATTTTTTTGGCTGGTTTACAGCATCCATTAATCTATAAGAAAACAAAATGTGTGTGCAAAATTCTCTACTTATTTATTTGTCATAACTTTCTTAGCGAGAGCTTCTGCCTCAGAGTGAATTATAGTTCTTGTTCAGGCATCTTGATAAGCCATAATTCTTCTGAACTCTGCCTGGTACATATTCTCCAAATCCAAAATTGTATAATGCTATACAGTATTGCTTTTGCTATATTGCTTTCTGACCAGCTCAAGGTTGACTCAGCCTTCCATCCTTCTGAGGTCAGTAAATTGAGGGACCCAGATTGCTGGGGGCAATAGCCCAGAGAGGGCTGTAGAACAGTATGAAGTGGTATATAAGTCTAAGTGCTATTGCTATAAATAGGCATCACTTCGGTGGGAAGATAACAGCCTTGCCTTGTACCTTGGTGTATAGTCATGCCGGCCACATGACCACGGAAGCATCTTTGGACAATGCTGGCTCCCTCCGCTAAGAAACAGAGATGAGCTGCGCCCCCTAGAGTCAGACACGACTGGACAAGGGAAGCCTTTGCCTTTAGCTAACAGCTTCATAGGAGAAAGTTGAGCTCCGATTAGAAGTTAGCAAAAACTTTCCTGCATGACAATCTCTATGTTGAGATGCAGCCACATTGCAATTGGAGTTGATATGGCATAAAGGCCGACAGAACAGAAAGAAATGCAGAGAAGGAAATTATAAATTCGCATAGTTTTAACTGTGTCAATCCTTGGGCCAACTAATAAAAATGTTTAAATAATAATAATGATGATGATGATGATGATGATGATGGACGTGGCAGTGCCTGGAGACAGCAGAATAGACGAGAAAGAACTGGAGAAGATAACAAAAATACAAAGACCTACAAATAGAAGTAGAAAGACTGTGGCAAAAGCAAGCAAGGGTAGTACCAATAGTCATAGGTGCCTTGGGTACAATCCCAAAACAACTGGAGCACCACTTGAACACCATCATCGGCATTGACAAATTTGCCATTAGTCAATTGCAAAAGGCGGCCTTATAGGAACTGCTTCCATCCTGCAACGAGATCTGTAATACCATCAAACATCCACATCTGCCTATCCCAGGTCCTGGGTAAGGACTCGATAGGTAGACAAAAATGCCAAATCCATTCTGAGCATCAGGCTGACTGTGCGATTAATAATAATAATAATATAATAATAATAATAATGTTGGAAGGTACCTTGGAGGTCATCTAGTCCAACCCCCTGCTCAGGCAGGAAATGTATATACAGGTAGTACTCAACTTACAACCGTAACGAAGCCCGGAATTACAGTTGTAAGTTGTTGTGCTCATAAGTCAAGGCATCACATCTCTGGATTTAAAGTTACAACTGTTTTGTAAAATGCCACAGTTATTAAGTGAATCCGTGTTTTCCCAGTGAGGGTGTTTTGCGGGAAACAAGAAGTAAAAACTGGAAGGTGGCAAAAAAAAAAAGTCACAAATTTCAGTCACATGACCGTGGGATGCTGCAAATGGCCATAATAGTGGGTTGGTTGCCAAGCACCAAAATATGATCACATGACCATATGATCACATGACACCATGGGTGTGTGCAGCCATTGTAACTCCAAAAACAGGTCCTCTTGGGAGGTCAGTCATAACTTCGAATGATTGTTTAATCAACCAGTCATAAGTTGAGGACTACCTTATTCCTCTTTCCATTTTGGGGAGATCTCTCAGTTATGTTGAATTGAGAATTAGGGACTAGAACAGTGGTTCTCAACCTGTGGGTCTGGACCCCATTTGGGATCGAATAACCATTTCACGGGGGTCGCCAAACAACGCAGTCCGCCATTTTTCCCCCCTTTTCCTTAGCTGTGCCACTCCCTTTTATTCTATTGGCTTTTGAAAGCCAATAGAATAGACTCTCTTGAATAGAGTCTAATTCTATTGGCTTTCAAAAGCCAATAGGAATTGTCCAGGCTGTCTCTGCCCTGCTGAGCCCGCCAAAAGTCCCATTCTGCAAACGGTGCTTCACCAGTTGAGTAGTCCTCGACTTATGACCGGTTGCGGCATTAAAAAGGTTGAGAACCACTGGACTAGAACAAAGTTGTTTCCTTCATATTTGTAACAGTCCTGCTTTAACTACTGCATCACGCTAGCTTACATTTAAAGGGGGGGAATTTTGACAAAAAGGAACAGCTTCCTGTATGCAAAGCAATTCTCTATAAACTCTCTCCCCCCCTTTATCTCTTCAAAGAAAGGAAGACAAGCCTTCCAGATAATTGTGCGAATTCACCCAAGGGTTCCTGCAGCTGCTTTTGAGTCTCTGTAGCCAAGACTGCCAGCATCACTATTAAATTAAGTCTTAACGGGTGTGGGACTGACAGAGCTGTGGAAGGAGGGATGAGCTTCTTGCTTTAACATCTCTCCGCTCACTTCAGATCTGCAAAAGGAACTGCCTATAAGTACCCCATTATAATTGCTGTTGTATCTGTTTCCCCCCCCCCCTCCAGGCCCAAGCCGTCACCCTCACAGTTGCTCAGGCGTTCAAGGTAGCATTTGAATTTTGGCAGGCCTCCAAGGAAGGTGAGTGCTTTGCAATGGCCTCCCTAGAGTCAAATCAGAGGGTTGAGGCCTGCTCTGCTTTTTGCTTTATCACTGTTGTTCTTCACGTTTGAGTTTCTTATGGGTCGTTGTTTTATTTCTTTGCCAATGTGTTTAGGACAGGGCTTTTCAGCCTTTTCACCCATTGTGCCACTTTTAGGATACGGCAACATCCGAGGACCACCAGTCGCCTAGTAAAGGGTCAAAAACTTGATGACCCCCCCCCCAAAAGGAAAAAAGTGATAAAGTACAGGTAGTCCTCGACTTACAACAGTTCGCTTACTGACTGTTCGAACTTACAGTGGCACTGAAAAAAGTTCCCCACAACCCACAGCCGATCAAGACACCTGCCTGCCTGCCCGGCCGTGCTCTTCCTCCTGTCCGAGGTTTTCATTGTTGTGAGCATTTATGTTGAGGATTGGCAGCAGGGGTGGGGTGGGGGGGTGTTTGGTTTTTATCCCCCCCCCCATCTGCTGGGTGGTTGCAGCAGGTTTTGGAACCTTCACATGACCCTGGGACACTGTGACCGTCATAAATATCAGTTGCCAAGCATCTGAATGTAAATCACAAGACCCTGGAGATGCTGCAACATTCCAGCTGATCGGCGCTTCTTCAGGGCTCAGCAGAAGCACCAGGATCAACGCTGCTTTTCAGCTGGAGCCTGGCGCTGATCCTGATGCTTCCACTGAGCCCTGACAGTCCCGAAGAAGCGCCAATCAGCTGGAAAGCGCCACTGATCCTGGCGCTTCCACTGAGCCCTGACAGCCCTATAGCTCCAGCCATCTCTCACTCAGGCTTGTGTGGTGCTGCCACCGGTTCAGCTCATTCCCCTCCCCCGCTACCACTTTTCTAGGATGGTCGCGTGCCACCTGCCAAGTGCCAATGTACCACAGGTGGTACCCGTACCACTGGTTGAAAAGCCCTGGCTTAGGACACTGCAGAGGAACTCTGTCCATCAACTTTAGACAGTTCTGCTCTTCTTAAGTACAGGTAATCCTTGACATAAGACCTCAATGAGGACCCAAATTGTTGGGGGCAATGTAAATATATATACATTGCTTATTGGTGTACACCGCTTAGAGAGTGCTTGCACTTAAAGCGGTATATAAGTCTCATAAAAAAAAAATTGAGCCCAACATTTCCATTGTTAAGCAAAGCAATCATTAAGTGAGTTTCACCCCATTTTACTACCTACTTTTGCCCCAGATGTTAAGCAGACCCCTGCAGTTGTTAAGTGAATCATGCAATCACTAAGCAAACCTGGCTTCCCTCATTTGACTTTGCTTCTCAGAGGTCAGCTGTGAAGGTTGCAATATGTGATGACATGACCCCCAAGACCAGAGGTAAGCAACCTTGGCTCTTTTATGACTCGTGGACTTCAACTCCCAGAATTCCTGAGCCAGCATGGCTCAGCTTGGAAACCTCTCTTTCCCCTCAGCATGGCTGGCTGAGGAATTCTGGGAGTTGAAGTCCACAAGTCATGAAAGGGCCATAGTTCCCCCATGCTGGCTCAGGAATTCTGGGAGTTGAAGTCCACGAGTCATAAAAGAGCCAAGCTTGCCTACCCCTGCCCATGACAGAGCAACTGTCATAAATAAATTTGGCCATTTGCCACGTGCCCAAATTTTGCTGACATGACTGTGGGAATGCGTCAGCGGTCCACAAGTGTGAAAACCATCATCAGTCGCTTTTTTCAATGCGGTTGTAACTGGTCACTAAACAAATGGTTGTAAGTCAAGGACTATCTGAATAATCTTGATCCTCAGGATTCTGGAAGGAGGTTGCTGAGTGATCAGGGTGCTGCAGAGCCCCCCCCCCCCGATTCCTCCAATCTGGAAATTTATTCCATTTCACCTTTCAGCAGCCCGGCCAATTTTTATCATCTCTTATTTCAATAACCTTGGTTCACACACTAGGTCTAGTATTGTTATGTCTAGCTAAACTCTCATGCACATTCCTCCCCCCAGCCTCATCTAACTCCAACTCTAAGAGTAAAACATAAGAAGAAAATGGTTGCATCTCTAACTATTCTCAAAGCAAAAACATCCGATGATAGCAGCGTTGACATCCACCCCCCCCCCCTTACAAAAAGCACAGATTGGATGTTTTTGCTTTGACACCTGGCACCCTGCAACTGTCGTAAATACATGCCGGTTGCTAAATGCCAGATTTTGATCACACAACTCTGGGGGAACGCTCCAATAGTCATAAGCATGAGAACTAAGTCACTTTTTTCAGCAGTGTGGTATCTTCAAACGGTTGTTAAATGAATGGTTGCAAATTGAGGACTACCTGTAACCCTACAGAAGGATTTGCAGTCATTTTAATTCTGATCTTGAAGAGGATGCAGGACAGCAGTAGAAAGTCGTTGCTGCATTTATTCCCAAGTTTTGGCACGACACTTGTAAGGGATACAGGCAGTCCTCAACTTAACAAGCACAATTGAGCCCAAAATTTAGGTTGTTAAGTGAGACATTTGCTAAGAGACCTTTGCCCCATTTTGATACCTTTCTTGCCAGAATTGTTAAGTGAATCACTCCAGTTGATAAGTTAGTAACCCAGTTGTTAAGTGAATTTGGCTTCCCCCGTTGACTTTGCTTGCCAGAAACTTGCAAAAGGGCATCACATGATCCTGGGACACTGCAACCGTCATAAATACATGCCAGTTGCCAAATAACTGAATTTTGACCACCGGGATGCTGCAATGCTTGCAAGTGTGGAAAACAACGATGACATTTTTTCCCGTAGTGCAACTTTAAACAGTCACTAAATGAGTGGTTGTAAGTTGAGGACTGCCTGTATCCTTCCTTGCTGCACACGCATAAATGCGCTCCCTCGTAGCTATTGAGGAAATGCCTTCAGCCAGGGCTTCTGGCTGCAGCTGACCTGCTGGTGCTAATGGAGAGCATGTTGACAGTAAACCATCTGTCTCTTTGTCAGCGGTGGATTGGCTGGAGCAGCTGCCGGCACATCGGCCTCCTTCCAGACTGAATGTAGTTGTGATTAAATGGCTTCCCCAGGCTTGGCCTCACACTGGTAGGGGAAGCCTTCCCCGTTGGCTGCTGCTGTTCAACAATCGCAAAGGCTAAGAGGTTGACGTGTGTCTAGGAGAGAAAGTGGCTTAGAAGTCCTTTCCTTCCCTATTCTGCTCCTTCTCCTGTGTCTCTGCCGTTGAGTAGCCCCAAAGGGGCACCCAGTCTGCCTATGGAGAGCTCCAACCCTCCCAAAAGCTTTTTCCACTGGGAATCCTCTCTTGCCGGAAATCCATAAGAGCGCATCTCCATAAAATCACTTCCTTCCTCAGTTGATGGTAACGGCAGACTGGATGGGACTAAAAAGTTCAATCAATCAATTCCAACTTTGCAAGATCTTTTTTTTCCCCGTGATTGATTAATTGAACTTTTTTTTTTTTTGCACACGGCAGTGGAGGCCTAAAATGAAAAGGTTTTATAAAACCCAGCTGGAGGCCTAGGACTGGGGCAACAGCATGCGTGCCCACAGAGAGGGCTTTGCATGTCACCTGTGGCACGCGTGCTATAGGTTTGCCACCATGGGCCTAGAAGATGGTGTCAGAATAACATGCAGAATAACATAGTTGGAAGGGACCTTGTAGTCCCATCTAGTCCAACTCCCTGCTCAAGCAGGAGATGTTATACCAGGGGTGTTAAACTCAATTTCATTGAAGGTCGCATCAGCATTTTGGTTGCCATGGGGGGGGGGGCAGTGGGCGTGGCTGGCTGGGCCATGCCCAGTGTAGGGCATGGCTGACTCAACGTTGCTCGTGTCATGGGGGGCCGAGCAGGGATGGGGAGATCCAGAGGTCTCCGGCAGGGGAGGGCAAAACCAGGGCGGGGCACCAGGGCCTGGTCCAGTGGAGAAGTCTCGCCGTCCCTCTCCTCCAGGCTGTTGCTGCTGTGCTCGCTCTCCTTGGCCAGATTGGGCTTCTCGGGCTGGGGGGGCACAAGGAGTTCCTGCTGCTGCCGCCGGGTGAGGCAGGTGCTAGGGTGGGGATGGCCTGGCTATGGCCCGCCGAGGTGCATGGTGTGGTGCGTGTGGGGCAGCTCCAGGGCTGGGCTCAGGTGGGGCAAAACGGAGAGGGGAGTCCTGTCTGCCTCTTGGGGATGTCCCGCATGTGCACTGGAGCTGGAGGAAGAGGTTGTACAGCGGGGGCCAAGCGAGCAGGGACTGTAGGGTGGTGGTGACTACGACCAGCTGGGCTGCTTCGCCATAGCCCCACCATCTATCTTTGCTTGCCCAAGGCTGCTGCGGCCGGATCACATGCTTTTCCCCCCCCCCAGTGTCCCATCCTTCCAGCCTGGGATTCAACTCTGCCCCTCTTGAGAGCCCAGCTGTTAATGTCTGTGGTAGAAATCACTCTGCAGGTTTGACTTTTCCTGCCTGGAGATGGAATAGATCAGTGGTTCTCAACCTGTGGGTCGGGACCCCATTTGGGGTCGAACGACCATTTCACAGGGGTCGCCAAACAACGCAGTCCGCCATTTTTTCCTCCCTTTTCCTTAACTGTGCTACTCCCTTTTATTCTATTGGCTTTTGAAAGCCAGTAGAATAGACTCTCTTGAATAGAGTCTAATTCTATTGGCTTTCAAAAGCCAATAGGAATTGTCCAAGCTGTCTCTGCCCTGCTGAGCCCGCCAAAAGTCCCATTCTGCCAACGGTGCTGCACCAGTTGAGTAGTCCTCGACTTACAACCGGTTGGGGGTCGCGGCATTAAAAAGGTTGAGAACCACTGAAATAGATAGAAGATTGTAAGATTGTGGTGGGCACGTGCAGACCCCCAAGAGTCCATTGGTACACACCAAATCAAAGGGAGAAGTTCTAAAACACATTCAAGCATATTGTTTGCCTGGGGCAGGCTGGACAGTTTGAGGAGACAAAATGAGCGCCTTCAATCTTGTAGAAACTGAAAGCAAAACCTTCGTTTCCCCACCCCCACCCCAAGAAAACCAATCCTCCTCAAAATGAGTTGTTTTTTTCCCCCACTTTGGGTAGATTAAGAGCAAAATGGAAGCCATATGTCTCTGCAAAATTTAAGCTATCTGTTCTACCTCTAAACCAGGGTTGGGCAACTATGGCGTTTTTATGACTGGCTCGGGAATTCTGGGAATTGAAGTCCACAGGTCATAAAGTTGACATAGTTGCCTAGCCTTGCTCTAAATCTAAGGGGTTTTATGACCCCTACAGGAAAAGAGATTAAACTGTCTGCTCCTTCCACACTGGGGATTGTGGTTATCTCTCCTAAACTCCCAGTGGTGGCGAACCTATGGCACGCGTGCCAGAGGCGGCACTCGAAGCCCTCTCTGTGGGCACTCGTGGCGTCGCCCCAGCCTCACCTCCTCTTGTGGCCCCCTCCTCACCAGCAGCCTCCCTGGAGGAGAATCGCCTCCGGGTGCAGCCCACAAGGAGCAGCGCAGCCAAGGACATAGCCGGGCAGCAGGGACACGACTCCGCCCTCGAACCCCATAACGTGCAGATGATGCTGCGGGGTGTGAGCGGAGGGCGTGGCTGCCACGGTGCTGCAGAGCTGCCTGGGCGATCTGCTGTGGCGGGCAATGGAGGCGGTGCGTGGGCAGGGGGCGGGCAGGGGCAGAGCAGGCAGGGCGGGAGGTGGAGCAGGCAGGGTGGGTGGCAGGTTTTGGGCATTCAGTCTCTAAAACAGGGGTAATCAACCTTGGCTCTTTTATGACTGGTGGACTTCAATTCCCAGAATTCCTGAGCCAGCTTAGCTTAGCTGGCTCAGGAATTCTGGGAGTTGAAGTCCACGAGTCATAAAAGAGCCAAGGTTGACTACCCCTGCTCTAAAAGGTTCGCCATCACTGCCCTAGGATACCCTACTCGGGTCAAACAGAGCAAAAGGAGCCAGGTAGAAAAATCCCCACCTGGTTTACCTTATAGGTTATAGTGCAGTTTTGTGGACTGTGGTCTTAAAACTGACTGAGAAACTGATTTTTGTGTCCTTTCCTTCCCCCTGCTCCCATGACAGAGAAGGAGAAGAGAGACAAAGCCACCTTGGAAGGAGAGACTGCCAGCAGCCTAAATTCAGATCCTTCCTCCCCAAAAGCACGTAAGTAAGCAAGGATTCAGTAAAAGGAACAGTTGTTGATTTATATCAAGTTTGATTCTTTCCAAGACTTGCAAAGAAAAGTAGAATCTAGGAACTACTTTGCTTGGCCAACATACTACATGGATATGTGCTACGTGGGTGTAACTCCCTTTTGTAATCGACTTAGTTTCTGAGGTCTCCTAGTAGATGAGCACATCATCTGTGAATTATAACACAGGCAGGCTACACGCATTCCTTGACTTATGACGACAACTGAGTCCAGAATTTCCATTGCTAAGCAAGATGGTTGTTAAATGAGTTGCTCCTCATTTTTTTTGCCACAGTTGTTAAGCAAATCGCTATAGTTGTTAAGTGGATCGTGGCGTCCTCCATTGACCTGAAGGTCACAAAAGGTGAGTTACATGACCCCAGGACAGTGCAACAGTCATAAATACCTGCCAGTTGTCAAGTGCCTGAATTTTGATCATGTGACCATGAGGATGCTGCAATGGTCGTTAAGTATAGAAAACCAGGCATAGATTACCATATATTCTAGCCTATAAGGCGACCCGGCATATAAGACGACCCCCGTCTCCGGCACCGAGTCACATGCCTAGAAAGTCATCTTATACGCCGGAAACTACCGTTATTTCCGGCGTATAAGATGACTCGATGTATAAGACGACCCCCGTCTTTGGTGCCAATTTTAAAGCTTGCGAAAGTCGTCTTATACGCCGGAAAGTACAGTACTTTTTTCAGCACTGTTGTAACTTTGAACAGTCACTTAATCGAGGACTACCTGTACATATCCATTGGATCAGGAATGGCCACCTGCTGCCTCCAATATTCTAAGCTTTAGTGCCTGTTGATCCCAGCCCTCATGATCTGTGGCAAGAGAGTTTGAGAATTATTATTCCAGAGAAATGCCTGCTCTTCTTTATTTGTAAGCCTGATAACAACAACAAAAACAACAACAATAATAATATAATGATAATAAAGTTGGAAAGGACCTTGGAGGTCATCTAGTCCAACCCCCTGCTCAGGCAGGAAACCCTATACCATTTCAGACAAATGGCTGCCCAGTCTCTTCTTAAAAACTTCCAGTGTTGGAGCATTCACCACTTCTGGAGGCAGGTTGTTCCACTGGTTAATTGTTCTAACTGTCAGGAAGTTTCTCCTTAGTTCTAGGTTGCTTCTCTCCTTGATTAGTTTCCATCCATTGCTTCTTGTCCTGCCTTCAGCTGTTTTGGAGAATAACAGGAGCTGTTTTATGACACTTCTTTGTGCTCTCTTCTAAGACCTGTTTCTTTTTCTTTTTTAAAAAAATTGAAATTTATTATAATATAAAATATAAATAGAAAGAAAAATAATACAGGAATGGGGAAGAGAAGGGAAGGAAAGAGGGGTGCAAGTAAGAAAGAAAGGGGAAAAAACAATGACTTCCAACTTTTTTTCCGAAATCTTTAGAATTGTCAGCCAGCGTGGTCTTCAGATTAGGAATTCTGGAAAATGTAACCGCACAACTTTGAAGAATAATAGGCTGGAGGAGGTTAAGAAGCTTCTGATCCAAGGCACCTCTCCAATTTTTAATTTGTGTAACATCCCAGTTCACGCATGCATGAAACTAAATTAAAATCTGGTTATAGGGCTAGATGTCTTGAAGGAGGCAGACCTGGATGTAGTTTTGACCAGCATACAAATAGCTCAAATGAATAAGATATTCGTCTTCACGGATTCTTAGGAGCATATTATTTATTTATGTATGTATTTAAATTTAAATTTAATGCTTGCAGGGCTGAGCATACAAGAACTTGTATGAGCTTAGACTACCAGGGTGAGCTGTGGCATTCCTCACTCATTTTGTGAAGTCTGCCCAGATGGGCAAATAGTGACAAATTCTTGAGCATTTGCAATAACTTTTCTGAATTTTAAAAAAAAAAATATCCAATTGCTTCTTTTTTTTAAAAAAAAAGGGGGGGTAATTTCTGCTGGCTAAGTGTTGTGCTGACATGTTTGGAAAAGTCAGAAGCTGCATAGGCAGAGAAGCTGAATCCTTACGTCGTAAATGTTTGGGAAGTTAGGATTTCTTGTTTTCTTTCCCTGATGTTGTATGGTGAGCGAAAGAAGGCGTTGAAATGTTTCTTTGTTGCTGCTCTTATGTTGTTTCGACCATGAAGTTTAATTTAGATTCAGGTTACAGTTCTCGCTTGCTTCTCGCCTCCAGTGGAAAATTCAGTCGTGCTGAATCAGATGGTCTGGAAGCCGGGATTACCAAAATTGGACGTAACAAGGCCATATGAAGCCCAGGCCATAGGTTCCCCCCCTCTTCCCCTCTAAAAAGATGAAATGACGTAATTGCTGTTTGCATCTGGAGAAACAAAATATAGTTGGGCACTCTTTTTTAAAGAAATGATGCAAACGGGCCTTGTAGGGTTGAGTTTAAGGATGCTTGCTGTTCCATTTTATTCTTCCTTCACCTTCTTTTACATTTTTCTCCTTTCTATTTAGCCAGCCTTCATCAGTCCCTAGATGTCCTGTGATTAAACTATAGTCTGGATTCCCAGGGGGGAGAGAGTGGATTCCAGAGGAGCAACAGGCAACTTAGATCAGATAATTTGTGTGAGAGAATGAGGATGGAAACTGCTTCTGCTTAACAGTTCCCAGAGTATATGCTTTATGCTGATGGAGTCTGCTTTAGTGTGGCAAGATTCTGTCTATCGGTGAATAAAGAAATGTGCTTGGAAGAATCACTTGGCATTTGGAGCCTGACAAATCCTCTCGGAATTGGTTTTCTTCTTTCCCCTTCACGTTTATTTAGCGGTGTGTCGATACGTTTACCAACCTTGCAATTTCTCAAGCTGACAGGGCTTTTCTCTCCACGCCCTTGCATGTGGTTGGTGCCATTATGGCAGTGTAAGCAGTGGCACCCAGCTTCCCAACACTGGAAGTAGTATGCTACTTTGCATCTTCTTAAGTCTCCTCGAGCACAAGTCACCCTTAGGAACTCCTGTAACTTGATAAAATTAACAAAATGAGATATATGTCTCATAGATATAAAACAAGAAGGGAACTGCATTTGTGTTTTTCAGCTGAATTTTTTCTCCACATTGACTTCCTGGAAAATGCTAAGCTTCAGGTGCATACCATGTGTAGCAATGTCGTTGACACCTGATTGGAATCCATCACGGGCTTAGCAACCCTTGTGACCTCTTCAGCTTTATCATCATGATTCCTGTAGGTGTGTTATTCTTTAGCGGGAAGAGAGGAAGAGAGGGGGTTAGCGCACCACTATCTCTCCAGCCGCTTTCCCTGTGCCGTTCCAAGGACCCATTAAAACTGTTGCAGCCTGGATTGCGCAGCTTGCAAAATGAGGTCATGCCTTCTGAGTCTTGCGTTTAAGTGACACTCTTCTTGCAATTGTCTTGCGGCAAAATCTATCTCCAAAAGCCGGCATGGTGCAAATTACCTTAAATTAAATGGCCAGGCAGAGTAGTCTTAGGTAGGGGAAATTAAAGTGACCTCCCATCTTCTACGGCAGGGATCCGAAGCCTATTGCAAATTGACCCCGAGCAATTTGTGTGCTGCCCCATTCTGATCAGCATGGTTGTGTGTTTTCTGATTGTGTGCAGCTAGTCCTCGACTTACGGCAATTGGGACCAGAATGTCTGTTGCTAAGGAAAGTGGTGGTTAAGTGAGTCGTGCCTGGTTTTATGACCTTTTTGCCGTGGCTGCTAAAGAATCACTGCAATTGTTAAGTGAATTGTGCAGTTGTTAAGCAACTCCATCTTCCCCCATTGTCTTTACTTATCAGAAGCTGGCAAGGAAGGTCTCAAATGGAGATCACGTGAACCCAGGACTCTGCAACTTGTCGTAAATACATGCCAAGTTGCCAAGGGCCCAAATTTTGGTCATGTGACCGTTGGGATGCCGCGACGTTTGCAAGTGTGAGGACTGGTCGTCAGTCACTTTTTTCAGTGTTGCTGTAACTTCAGATGATCACCAAACAAGTGGCTGTAGGTCCCGGACCATCTGTATACGGTTCACTCTAGTTTAAAATGCTTCTCTGGAAGCCTAATGTAGACATAATGGAAAACAGGATAACAGTTGGAAGGGACCTTGGAGGTCTTCTAGTCCAACCCTTTGCTCAAGCAGACACATGGTTATCCAATCTTTTCTTTTCTTTTCTTTTGTAAAAAGTTTTTATTTTCAATTTTACAATACATTACATTCTTAAAAATACTTCAGATAAAAAATAAAACAAATTGATACACACCACTTTCAGTATTGCTCACCCATTTCCCCCCCAACCGCATCCACGCTCTAACCAACTTGCCTCTTTCCCTCTTCTTCTTCCTCACTCGCCTCCTCTCCTCCTTCTCCTCCACCTTCCTACTTGCTTCTCGCCTTCTTCTATCTTCTCGCTCTGGATGTGGTCCAGGGGAAATGCCCGAGCAATTCCTCTCTCCAAATTGAAACATCAATATTATATACAATAAAACTATTTCTACTTATCTGAACTACTTAAACTTCAACCCATCCTCCATCCACCGCCCTCCCCACCCCGACTTCCCAGAGCAAAGTACAGGGTTATACAAACATATTAAACATAATCTATTTAAGTTTACTAATTATACAATAACCAAAACCATACTAACCCTTAACTCTCTTCAAACTTTAACATCATAAGTTTATAAACAGATTCATTACTCATAAAATAAATGAAACTTTATAGTTCCATACTTCTTCTGAACATATTCTATCCATCTTCTCCATGTTATCCCATCTTTTCTTAAAGACCTCCATTGTCGGAGTACCCACAAGCTGTCCCACTGGTTAATTGTTCTCACTGTCAGGAAATTTCTCCTTAGTTCTAGGTTGCTTCTCTCCTTGATTAGTTTCCACCCGTTGCTTCTTGTCCTGCCTTCAGGTGCTTTGGAGAATAGGTTGAGCCCCTCTTCTTTGTGGCAGCCCCTTAGTTACAGTATTAAAACACTACAATCATGACACCCTGTCAACGCTGCTAATAACACACCCTAGTTCTTCTTTTCATATAAGTCATGGAAAGCTCTGGCACTGGAAGGGTTGGGTGCTGTCTCATAGTTGGCATCTCCAGAATCTATAAACTTGAAGTCACACTCACTTTCAGCTATGAAAGGTCACAAGATGACTCTGAACCAGTCGTTAGCCCAATTCCCTACGAGGATGAAGTTGGAAAACAAGTATCCTGCATGCCTCCTAAATCTATGAGTAAACGAAGGAAGCTAATTTATCCTGAGTCATTTCCTTGACTTGTTAATGATGTGCAATGGCACTTTTCAGGATTTTCAGTTTTTCCTATCTGTGTCGTTGGAAATGAGACAGCTAGAACCGGGGACCTTTTGTGTGCAGAACAGATGTGCTACAACTGTGCTGTGAAGAGACTCGGATGCCGTAATTAATGCTAATGTGTCAATGGGAGCTACTGAGTGACAGGCTGGAATTCAAGGATATGGTTTCCATGCAAAGAGAGCCTAGCTAAGATGTCATCAGCTCCTCATAGAACTGAAGAAGACCCTGGAGTAGATTCTTGGAGAGCAAACAACAACATTGAGCGATGTAGGTGAACCAATGAGTCTGGCTTGGTCCAGGACAGCTCTCACTGTTCCTGTATTTCTATTTTTAAAAAATGCCCTATCATCAACAGAACAACGTATTGCAGTATTTACCACTTTAATACCTCCTTTTTTTGTTCATGTAATACAGGTTGCACATGAGCAAACTCCATTCTCACTCCACCTTCACAGCCTCCAAAAATCACATGAGAATGGGGTGTGCTTTTGAGAATAGTTGTGGTCAAATGTTGGTGGCGTGTCAGCCAAAGCATCATGGTGTGTCACCTTTGACATGCATGTCATAGGTTTACCGTCACTACTCTAAGCCGTATCAAGAAGCTGCAGGCACCCTTCGCTCCCGCCTGCCACTACTTTCTGTGGTAATTAAGCAAGGACAGTTGACTTTGACTATAGGATGAGCAAGGCAGATGATCTGGAAAACATTTTCTGCATTGATCTAACATATGCATTGTTCACGCTTCCTGTTGTTACGCTTCAGTCGAAACAAGCTTCTTGAACCAGTTTACAGCCCTTGAGATCCTTCAGGGAGGGAAGCAGGCATAGGGCAAGAGAGCGGGGGTCTGTTTTATTTCTTGGCCATCAACTGTATGAAAGCACAACTATCAATAAAAAACAATGTGCTTTAAAAAGATTGTTGGTCCATGTTCGTCAGCTCATAGAAGAAGCTTTTCTACAATTCTACAGACTCTTGCAAGTTTGTGGGCGAGCTCAGCCTAGCAGATAACAAGTACTGTTGTGGGTCCATATTTCTTTTCTCCCTTCTGGAAAATTCAAGGGAATTCTATAACTTCTGATGCAGCTTTGGAACCCACGCCGCCCAAAAAACTAACTAACCCTTTTCTTTCCTAAACTTCATGATCCTTATTTATTTATTCCTTTCCACACACAGCAGTCACCGTAGAAAACCTGCTAGACTTGGAAAATGTAATCAAAGCTCCTTTGAACACAAATTCTTTGCACGTGGATGGTCAAATCTTTGGGCCCCCTTCATCAGAAAACAATAATGTGTGGGTAAGTGTGGTGATCTTAGCAAAGATCTCATTTAGTAAGTATGTGCTTCACATCCAGCTCTAGTGTGGCTTGTGTGGTTTTTGGCTTGGTGTATTGTCGATCGCTGTTCATTGTGGTTTGCCTAGGGTGGATTATGACGTAGTGTGTTGTGCGGTCTTAATCAGCTGTGCTTTATTCAGTCAACTGTAATTAAAATAAGCCCATGGCTTTGCACAATAGGTAAATCGGAATAGTACTGTAACTTGCTCTTGAGTTATAGGACATCTTCTGAAAGAACTTTTTCATTTGCTGCTGGAATGGGAGCCAAATTGCCTTTTTTGGTGCGTGGATCTGGAGATCTACAGTATGCTTTATTGTTCCCTAGGCCAGGGGTAGGCAACCTCGGCTCTTTTATGACTCATAAAGTTGAAGCCCATGAGTCATAAAAGAGCCGAGGTTGCCTGCTCCTGCCCTAGGCTGCTCTATCGAGTTGGGGCCGGGTTTCCTGCCTCTTCTGCGCTTTGTTTTACAGCTCAGACATCTCAACCATTTCTGATCAAAGGAAAGAAAGTGGCTTCATTTTTTCAGGATTATTTTTTTTCCTCCCAGTAACATATAGCAAGTCAGATGTAGGGAGAGATCAGTCTATGGCGAACCGATGGCAAGCGTGCCAGAGGCGGCACTCGGAGCCCTCTCTGTGAGCACACGCACCGTCGCCCCAGTCCCGCCTTCCCTGCAGCCCCCTCCTCACCAGCATCCCCCCCTGGAGGAGAGTCAAGAACATAGAGAGTCAAGCAGGGACAAGACTCCACCCTCGTGCCCCATAGTGTGCAGGTGACGATGCAGAGTGTGGGCAGAGGGCGTGGCTGCCATGGCGCTGCAGGCCTGCCAGGGCGATCTGTGGCGAGCCATGGAGGCAGTGCGTGGCCCTGTGGGCAGGCGGGGTAGGGGGTGGGCAGGAGCAGAGCAGGCAGGGCGGGGGCGGAGCAGGCAGGGTGGGGGCGGGTGGCGGGTTTTGGGCATTCAGTCTCTAAAAGGTTCACCATCCCTGGTCTATGGCATCACACTGTTGCAGACTAGTGAAACTACCAACTCTTTCCCATACCTGTGGTGGCCTAGGTTAGCACTGTCCTTGACTTACGAGCACCATTGGGAACAGAATTTCTGTCGCTAAGCAAGGCAGTTAAGGAGTCTTGCCTGATTTTGCAACCTTCCTTGTTTGTTAAACGAGTCACTGCAGTTATGTGAATCCTGCAATCATTAAGCAAATCTAGCTTTCCCCCGGCAACGTTGCTTGTCGGAAGCTGGATGGGGAGGTTACAAATGGCGATCCCAAGACCCCAGGATGCCGCAACCATTGTAAATATATACTGGTTGCCAAACATGATTGTGGGGAAGCATGAATGACCATCATAAATGCGAGCATCAATGACAGGTCACTTTTTTCAGTGCCATCCTAATTGGGAGCAAGTCAGTAACTGAATGGCTGTAAGTCAAGAATTATCTCTCCTCGCTTGGCAAGCGGCCTAACAGATTGTGGCTTCTCTTGTTCCCGTCTGATTCTTCAGTATTGTCTTATTTCTCCATTAATGCTCAGGTCCCAGTGGTTTTCTTGTATAACCGCATCATTTCTTTTTCTTGCTTGTTTGCATATCTGCTCTGCATGTGCCGGGAAAAGGCAGAATCAAACCCCGAATACATAAAAGAGCAATTCAGAAGTACAGTATGCTTGTCGTGTTGTGACCGTGTCCTCTCTCTAGGGCAGGGGTAGGCAACCTTGGCTCTTTTATAACTCGTGGACTTCAACTCCCAGAATTCCTGAGCCAGCATGGGGGAATTATGGCCCCTTCATTTTATTTATTTATTTGTTTATGAGACTTATATACCGCTTTAAGTGCAAGCACTCTCTAAGCGGTGTACACCAGTAAGCAATGTATATATATATATATATATATTTACATTGCCCCCAACAATCTGGGTCCTCATTTTACCTACCTCGGAAGGATGGAAGGCTGAGTCAACCTTGAGCCGGTGAGATTTGAACCGCTGATCTGCTGAACACAGTCAGCTAAAGTGCCTGCAGTACTGCACTCTAACTGCTGCGCCACCTCGGCTCATGGCTTGTGGACTTCAACTCCCAGAATTCCTGAGCCAGCCATGCTGAGGGGAACGGGAGAGGTTTCCAAGCTGAGCCTTGCTGGCTCAGGAATTCTGGGAGTTGAAGTCCACAAGTCATAAAAGAGCCAAGGTTACCTACCCCTGCTCTAGGGAGTGGAAGGGGAATGGGACCAGTGGCTTTCTTGCCCCAAAGGTGCTTTTTCAACATGCAACTGGACTTTCTCAGGTCTTTGAAAGCCAGAACTGAAACAGCTTCTTGGATGAGAAGCAAAACAGTTTCAAGGAAAAAAAAGCCAGAAAGTCCAGTTACCGTATATGCCGGCGTACAAGGCGACCCAGCGTATAAGACGACCCCCATCTTTGTTGCTGAGTCGCCTTCCTAGAACGTCGTCTTATACGCCAGAAACTACCAGTATTTCCGGCGTATAAGACAACTCGGCGTATAAGACGACCCCCGTCTTTGGCGCCGATTTTAAAGCTTGCGGAAGTCGCCTTATACGCCGGCATATACGGTCCTTTTGAAAAGTACTTTGACCTGGATCAGGGGTAGGCAACCTTGGCTCTTTTATGACTCGTGAACTTCAACTCCCAGAATCCCTGAGCCAGCACGGCTCAGCTTGGAAACCTCTCCCTTTCCCCTCAGCATGGCTGGCTCAGGAATTCTGGGAGTTGAAGTCCACGAGTCATAAAAGAGCCAAGGTTGCCTACCCGTGACCTGAATGAATGAGAATCTCCATAGAAAGTGGCTTTCTCCTTGCAGCAGAAAGACAATTTTGCATGAGCGCCAATCAGCACGACTAAGGAGAGGAGAAGTTTGTCACTGTAATTTGGGCATTCTTGGAGCAATTGAGGTTCCTCCACTTCTCCAATAGTCTCTGCATATGTTGCTGCTTTCAATTTCTCTGCGTTTGTCAACGGGTGAACTCCAGGGATCAAAACCCTACAAGAGAGAGATTTTTTTTTTAAAGGTGATCTTATCTGTGAGGATCAGGGAATCCAGAGCGAAGCTACAAGGAATTTGAAGATCTTCAGTGAAGAATAGCACATCACCTTTGTTTTGCATTGTTGGACTCGCTGAGACTTAGAAGAAACCACTCAAGTCATCAAGACCAACCCCTGCTCAATGCAAGTACACAAGGATGGATCCAAAGCAGATGGCTACCCTGGTTCCATCTGAACCCATCAAATAAAGAGCAGTCAAGACTTCTCTGGGCAATTGGTTTCACTGTCCAACTGCTTATATCAGTATTTTTTTCAACCTTGTAACTTTCAGCCAGCTATGCTGGCTGGGGAATTCTGGGAGTTGAAGTCCACACATCTTAAAGTTGCAAGGTTGAGAAACACTAGCTTTTAGAGTTTTATCTCACACTGAGTTGCAATTTACCTGGATTGGTCCAGTGCAGAAGAGAGCGCATCAGTTGCCCGAAGACCTTCGGCAAGTTTCCCCAAAGTTGCTTTGTAGTTTTTGGCCCCAAAAGAACTAACATGCATGGGAAAGCTGGAACTAAGCAGATGGTTTCTCCACCCCATCCTGTTCAACTTCTATGGAAAACAAGCAGGTGGACAGAAGATGGTTGGAGAGCTTCAGGTTTACCTTGTCAGATGCTTTGTCTGTGAGCACTAATATGCTGGGTTGTCCTCTTGTCATCTAACAAAGAAGGTTGTCCTCTTGTCATCTAACTGACCTGAGAACCAGCTAGTAAAAATCTATTACACTACTTTAAGCCTTGGGAAGTTCTCCTCCCTTTTAAAAGAAGGAATTGCAGATGCAATAGAAAAAGCACCTGGTTAAGCCTATGTGATATTTGAATAATTTTCATTTCAGTTGGATTTATACTTTTATTTCTCCCCTCCCCTTTCTTTTTATAACAAAGGCAATGGATGACGAGCTGGATGAAGCATTTTCAAGGTAATTATGATCAAGTCTTCCAGGAGCATCTTTCTGCTAGGGGCTTGGCCAAGAACTAGATTTGATTAATGAACTCTCCCTTCTCTTTCTTTTAAACTAAGCCAGGGGTCTTCAAACTTGGCCCTTTTATGACTTGCGGACTTCAACTCCCAGAATTCTGGGAGTTGAAGTCCGCAAGTCATAAAAGGGCCAAGTTTGAAGACCCCTGAACTAACCTGTCAAAAGGAGCCCAATGCTTCATTGGGTAGTCTGTTTGACTAATTGAACAAGGGATTTGGCTGCTTAGATAAGTCAAATATTTTGATAATGTCTTAGGGGAGCGGCTAATTTGTGTGTACAGGTGGGGATTAAATCCCTTAAATGCATCATTCTTTTGGCAAATGCTTATAAAATGGAGGTTGCTGAAACTAGAAGCTCTCACCTTCTAAAACGGAGGGCAATCTGTTTGAATCTGGGTTTGTATTCCAACTCCCAACCTACAAAGGGAAGAACTGGGGAGAAAATTTAATCGATTGTCCCATAGCAGCACACACTGAAAAAAAGGTGCACACTTTTAGGTTCTCTAAAATTCTTTGTCGGGTGAGAGATTGACAAAATGCCAGGAAGAAACCCATAAAGTCTGGCCAGATTTCAAAGGCAGTAAAATTGGAGATGATCAACTGGGTGCATTTGTAGGGTCATTTCATGCAGCCTTCAAACAGACACCCCTTTTACCATTTTTAGAAGACATTCTTCCTGATTCATCTTTGGTTTCATTCCAAAATGGCCCATCGTGGAATTTCCCTGATAATACCTATAGATGCCTTCTTGGTGGTGGCCCCAAGACTGTAGAACAACTTATCCCCAAGTTCTTATATTCCATACAAGTAGTCTTCAAGTTACAATCATAACAGAGCCTGTTCTTAGAGTCAAAAGGCATGATGATTGTAAAGGAGGTCAATTACATGTCTGACCTGATTTTATGAGAATGGGACCAACTAACCTTAGGAATAAATGAGCATAATAGAGAAAACACAATTCTTCTGAGCCCACACTGCTGGTGCATGTGTCTGCCTTGCCTCGTCAAAGTTCACAGCACCGAGTCCTAGAGCCAAACAACCTGTTTTGACACCTAAGGTGGAAAATTTCACAAGGCCAGCTGTGCCTCCCAACCTGTAAAAATCCAATGAGAAAAGACTCCATAAATAACACTGACTGTTATGGACATCTCTAATCAGCTGTTGTCCCCCAAACCTTGGCAACTATCAAGCTGAGTAAAAGTCAACTCAGGAATTTTGACATTCTATCTAGGTGATGACCGTGAACGCTCAAGAAAGGCTTCTTTGTCGGCAAAGCCACTTGAGTACCTTGACTTACTGTGTTACATACATGCAAGAAAATCCATGCGCTACATTTAATGGGTACACAGTAGAGATCAGTGTTCCTCAACTTTAGGAACTTTAAGACAAGTGAACTGCATTTCCCAGAATTCTCTAGCCTGCAGCAGCAGGTTTAAACTGTCAGGAGTAAAGGAAGCTAATCAATTGCTTCATGGGTTTCAAGCCTAGCTTGCAGTCAAAAGTTGCACAGGTAGGCCTTGACCAGGGGTAGGCAACCTTGGCTCTTTTATGACTCGTGGACTTCAACTCCCAGAATTCCTGAGCCAGCCATGCTGAGGGGAAAGGGAGAGTTTCCAAGCTGAGCCATGCTGGCTCAGGAATTCTGGGAGTTGAAGTCCACAAGTCATAAGAGAGCCAAGGTTGCCTACCCCTGACCTAGATGACGGACGGATGGATGGACAGACAGACAGATAGATAGATAGATAAACCTTGACCAGGGGTAGGCAACCTTGGCTCTTTTATGACTTGTGGACTTCAACTCTCAGAATTCCTGAGCCAGCCATGCTGAAGGGAAAGAGAGGTTTCCAAGCTGAGCCATGTTGGCTCAGGAATTCTGGGAGCTGAAGTCCATGAGTCATAAAAGATCTGAGGTTGCCTACCCTTGGCCTTGACTTCTCACCACAAGTGAGCCCAAAATTTCGATTGCTAAGCCAGAGAGTGGTTGTGAACTTTGCCCCCATTTTACAGTCTTTCTTGCCACCGCTAATTTAAACAGCCATGTAGACCTGGATTGAAATACTAATTAGAGGCACACCCCCAAATTACAATTTGCGTATCTGTTACAACTGTGACACATCACCGCCATCTGTTTCCTAGCCAAAAGCTTGTTTTCCTTCTGGGTCAAAGGAAAAGCTTCTTAATTGAGAAAATGTAATCTTTTCAGCTTCCTGAATCATGCTTTATAATCAGGCGCTTCCAAGCAGATGGCACCTGGTCCTTTCTGTAATCAGGAGCTGATTATAATCATGGCCGGCCGGTCTTAAAGTTGTCCAGGTTGGACACCCCTGGCTTAAATAAACATGGGTGGTGTTCCTTTCCTGGTGCTCCACCCTGTAATATCACATATCTTTTTGCTTATAATATTTTTGTAGTGTGAGTAGTTCCCTCTCATCTTTTGGCAACAGGCCATTTGTTTTCCACAAGGCATGCAGAGATGCCTTCAGAGTGGTGTCTTTCCCAGGTCTGCTACGCTGAGAAACTGCTTAAAGGGCTTTCCAAGATTTGCCTTTATTTGTTCATGAGCCTGTAGGAAAGTTTCCTTTGAGGATCGTCTTTCGGGACAGGGAAGATAATTCTCACAGATCCTTCCACATGACATTATTAGGGTTTGTTTCTGTGAGGTCATCTGGTGGCTTTGGACCAACTGCTCCCTCTGCTGGCCAGCCTTGCACAGAGGCATGATGAAGGTTTTCAAAAGAATGAAGTAAGCAGGAAGGCATTGATCCATTTCACTCAAGGTCTCATTTTGGGGGATTATTTCAGCATCATCGTTTCTCATTGTGATACTTTGGAGAAACTGTTTGGCACCTTGGGCTTCAGATTTTATTTTCTTTTTTTTAAAGTATGTAAACATTTTGGTGCCTGTTGGGATGAGCGTCAAACAAGCATTTTAATTCACAATTTGCCTGATGCTTTTTTTTTTTCCTGATAGTTTTCCCTAACAGAATCCAGTTGTGTACCTCATTTACACACCTGCAGGCCTTTTGGTGCAGATTTCCCTAGAATACATTTTGGTGAACCGAGTTCAAAATCTGAAAACTGATCACCTTGGAGAAAATGAAACTTGCCCATAGACATTTTTTGATTTCTCTTCATATTATGAAAATCTTTTACTTTTTATTAAAGATTGCCTTTCCCATGGAAGAATCAGATTTTCCAGCCAAATCATCTTGGGCCATCTTTCCTAGTGAACTATTTTTTTTTCTTTTCTGGGATTTAATTCTATATTTCTGTGAGGGGGCACACCTGTAGCATGAAGCGATATCCTCCTTGTCCTTGGCAAGCCAGCACTAGCACCTTCCTCCAGGTACGTTTCTTCACCCTTTTGTCTTGCCTTGTCATTCCAGGCTGGCACAATCCCGAACCAACCCACAAGTCCTTGACATCAGCCTGACACCTCAAGACATCCAAAGTGCTCAAATCCTCTCGCCGGTTGACTGGGACAAAGTAGATTCCATGATGGAGACCCCAAAAGATGAACAGCTCTTTGAGTTCTGACATCTTTTTTTTCCCCCTTGTTAAGCTTTTTGCTCCACAAGTAAGATAAGCTCTAGGAACCTGATGCACTGTATTCTCCTGACTGTAACTGGAAAGGGTTAATTAAAAGAGAAGAGGCCCAAAGCCTTGATTTGGTTTAGGTAGGAGTTGTGTTAATGCCCTTCAACTTTTGACCAAAGTTTTATTTCAGCTTTTCCCCCGAGTGCCTTCCAGATATATTAGGACTTTAGGAAGCATATCTGGTGGATACCAGATTGGGGAGATGGTTTGAGATACTTTAATACAGCTTTTTATGTATGACCTTTTTGGGTCTTTGCTTTTATGGAGATGACAAGGTACTCCTTGAGTAGATTTATTTAAGACTCTTTCAAATTTGCATTTATTATGGAGATATGTAGCATCATGTGGCTTAGCATTATAGCATTGGACAGTTTCCCCCTTGGGATTGCATATGATAAGCAATCGTGACAGCTGTGTTTTCTGAAGGACGCAGGATCTCCTTAGCAATAACAGAACTTTCAGATATTTTGTTTTAGAAGAGCTGAACTGGCTGGAGTGGACTGGAGAAATAATGTTGGGCTCCTTAGGACAGAGCTGATAATAGCTACCCAGGTGTTAGACATGGCAAAACTAAAGAAGCATCTTGATTGGGTTCAGAAATGAAGTCATTCAAACCATTTGATTGTCCTTGGACATCATGAGAGTGAGTCTCTTCTTACATCCTTTGTAGTTCAAATCCATCACTTTGTCTTCCTGCTTCTGCATCTTAACACCTTGCTTTTATAATTCTCAGCCATAATATTAGGTAGCAGCTAATCGTTACCTTGAGCAGCACTGACTTCTAGCTTACCTCGCATAAGTAGGATGCTACAAGCTTTGGACATTGTCTTATAAAAGATTGGGAAGCAATGACCTTCTCAATTGGAGCCAATAGTTCCCGGCATCCTAATCCAGTTGATGGCATCCCATAGCAACTGAGAGCCCAAGACCTCCCAGATAACTTCTGTCCAAAGGCTGAAGGCAACCTTCCAAACATAAGAATCATGGGATCCAGAAAATGGAAACAAATTGAGCTTAGTTCAGGTGGTGTTGGGGGAGCTGGGAATATGACTGCTTGGAGTAATGAACACTCTTCCTTACTTTAGGTAGTGGCATGTTTGATAACAATTTCTTCCCCAGATCAGCCTCCTGTCTTGTTCTACTATATTTCTTCCAGTAGGAAGTTGTCATAATGGAAGTGAATGGGGCACTTTCATCTTAGCAGTAAAATTCTTGTGATTATCAGCAGGGTTTTTGTAATATTCTTCTCTTTTTAAGACATCCCTGGAAGTGCCTTGATTGTCCTGTCGGGTATTCAGGGAGACTGTCAAACCTCAACGTGCCTTCATAAGGCATTCATTGTCCCTCTTCTAAATTCCTTGGAATCTGGTCTGAATCTTCTTGCCAGCCTATGGCACGTAGTCAGTTTTCAACTGGATGTGAGTTGAACTAAAACAAAACTCAGAGCATGGAGGTTACCCTGCTTTATAGGCTTTATATTCAGCTGAAATTTTAGACCAGTGTTTCTCAACCTTGGCAAATTGAAAATGTGTAGACTTCAACTTCCAGGATTCTCAGTAATATCTGTTCTGACTGTGGAATTCTGGGGGTTGAAGTCCATATACCTGGAAATTGCCACGGTTGGGATACCCTATTATAGACCATGTGTGGATGAGTTACACAGTGAAATAGTTTTAAAGCAGAGGTCCCCAAATTTTTGGGCACCAGGGACCGGTTCCGTGGAGAGAGGTTTTTTCATGGACCAGAGGGGGCGTGGTTTTGTGTACTGCCTGCATCCCATGGATGGGGCTTTGCTTGTTTGTGCGGACCGATTGCTGGCATGCCACAGACCAGGGGTTGGGGACCCCTGTTTTAAAGAAACTCTTTCTTAATATACAAGTAATCCATACTTAGTGATGGTAATTGAAGCTGGTATTTCTGTTGTTAGATGATGTGGTTGTAATGTGTCACACACCATGTGACCTTGTCACTTAGTGATGGAAATTCCAGCACTTCTGGTTAATGTTGTTAAGCAAATACAACACTGAGACCGACATAAGTATTAGGACTGATCATTTCTACCACTTATTCAGCATGGTCATAAGTTCAAACGGTTATTGAACAAGTGGTCGTTAAATGCGTACATGATGGGAAGATGCTTTCTAGTTAGCCATTTATCAGGATACACTAATTTTCTAAGTGTTGAGAAATTGGAGGAAGGAAGTGGCGTTTGGACACAAGGCTGCTACTCTCCAGCCTTGCAAAAGTGACAATGATTCCCTTGCATCTCCTTTTTTTTATGAAGATGTGGCTACATTTTAATTTTATAAGCAGATACACTTTTTAATTAAAATATTTTTATATGTATAAAGAGAGGAGTGCACTTTTGACAAACTGGAAGTATTTTGCAGAATTGCTTTTTACCTCATACCTGAGTGGATGGCCTGACCCTGGAGGGTGGGGGGGGGCTGGTCATGGAGACAACAGAAGGGAGTTGTGCAATGCTGGGAAAGGCAGAGACACAAGAGAGAATTTATGTGTTTGAGAGAGAGGAGGGGGGCAGTTGTGATAAGGGACAGCCGTGGAAAAGAACCGACATTGCCATTTCAAGTCTTCCGAGGCAGGATTTTGTCTTTGCTTTTTCCTCTGCCAAGTTCAGAGCATAGCAGGCAGACTGGGACAAAAAGAAGCAAAGCCAAACTAAAATCATGCAGGTAGTCCACAACATATAACCATTTGTTTAGTGACTGTTTGAAGTTGCAGTGACACTGAAGAAAGGGACATGATCCGTCTTCAGACTTAATGATCATTGCAGCATCCCGCACGGGTCGCTTGGTCAAAATCAGGCTTGTTTTTTATATCATAAAATCAGGCATAGCACACTTAACAAATTGCCTTGCTTAGCAGCAGAAATTCTGGCTGGCCCAAATTGTCCTAAATCAAGGACTACCTGTATTTCTTTCCAAAGGAACATAAAGCAGCTGTTAGATGACCTTCCTAAAAATGAGCTTTTCCAGAACTGCAGCAAAATGATCAGTGTCGCCTCTCATGCTGACAGCAGGGTTGATGAGCAATTTTTTTTTTTTTCTATCTGCTATCTGGGAAAATCTCAGAAAATGTAGATGCCTTTCAGGCGACAGTCCTTGTGTTCCTTTATCTTCTTAAGCCCTTTCTTCATTTTGCCTTGATTAATTGGGTTGCGCCCAAGTATTTAACCCTGAAAGATGTCGGTCTGGATTTTGAAAGGAGTCAGAAGGGCATTAAAGCGAAAAAGCAATATTAACTATGTGCGCCTAGGTTTCTTCTCTCACTGACCTGCTACCCTGAGAAAAGCTGGTCACCAACCTAATTTCTCGTTTTATATTCTGGTTTTAGAAAAGCAAATAATGGGAAAACCAGGATTACTACTATTAAAAGATTACTTTTAACAGTGATTTTTGGATAGCAGAGTAATCACAGTTTCTCACGTTGGTAACCTTGTGGGAAATACACTAAGCCATAATTGGCTTTTGAAATGCTAATGTTCCTTCCTGAAGGAGCATAAATGCGCTTTTTAATATGTCTGTAAATAGTACTTCGTGAATCCAAAGTTCTGTTCAGGGGGTTGGCAAGATAATTGAACCGGAAATCGAACAGTTTGGAAGGTTGCCCCTTAGAGATTGATTTAGAACACTGTTTTTCCATCTTGCCAACTTTTAGATGGGTAGACTTCAACGCATCTGAAAGTAGCAAAGGTTGAGAAACACTGCCTTCCAAGTTCCTTCAGGATGGAAAAAAATCAGAGTTTTGCGATACAGCCTTACTTCCACGTGATGCAAACCATGTCTCTTTTGGAGGACATTTAAAGCATCTCCATTGTCTCTAAGCTGCATCTCCTTCTGAGCAAAGCTAGCTGTAATTGGATGCCCCAAATTGATACTTGGCTGTCACACCCACACAGGCTGAGGTGGCCTAACTGAAAACACCACTTCAGAGTGTGAGGCAGGAGGAATATTACTGCCCTATAGTGTCCATGTTAACAAGTAATTCCTGAAGGGAAAGGTCTAGCAGAGACATTGTGGCTCCATCTATACCTTCCTTTGCTAGTTTTCTGCAGGTGGTCCTCAACTTACAACCATAACTGAGCCCAAAATTTCTACAAGTGTTGTTAAATGAATTTCGCCCCATTTTATGACCTCTCCTGGCACATTTGTTAAGTGAATCACTGCAGTTGTTAAGTTAGTAACACGGTTAAGTGAATCTGGCTTCCCCATTGGCTTAGCTTGCCATAAGATCGCAAAAGGGGATCACATGACCCCGGGACGCTGCAACTGTCGTAAGTCCATGCCAGTTGCCAAGCGCCCGAATTTTGATCACGTGACCCTGGGGATGCTGCAACGGTCGTGTGAAAAACTCATACATCACTTTTTTCAGTGCTATTGTAACTTCAGGCGGTCACCAGACAAAGGTTGTAAGTTGAGGACTACCTGTGCTTTGGGCACAAGCCTGAAGTGGTACATATGTTACAATCTCAGATCTCATTTCTTTGGGTGTGTGTTGTGGTCTTAAGACAAAGGAAGTTGTGATTGTTCCCAGAACTGTTGTAAGAAAGTTTCATCTCTATTTGAGTGTGTGTGTATATTTGTGCGTGTATGTGTGTGTGCGCACATACATACACTCACACACACACACACATACACACACACTCATATAAAGCAATACATAATATGCATAATATGCCAGTGTATATAAATAAACACATGCTGTAAAAAGTACTTACTACTGCTGAGAAAATAAAATTTTTACTTATTTTCCACATGAATGTGAATGTTGATTGATTTTTTTTTTCCCTGCCTGGTACTAGAAAACCTGAAACATTACAAACTAAACAGTAATTAACAAAAGCCTGAAATCCAGTCGAACATGCAGCCCCTGGAGATTAATTTGTACCTTCACTCTTGGCTTTTAAGAAGCATCTGAAAACCTTCTTTTGAAGTCCACTGGGGAACAAGGGTGGCCATTTTTAAGTCTATTCTTAATGATTTCTTTATTGACATCACTGTTTATACTGCAGAGCTAGTTGGCTGTTGAGCTTATGGTACATCACAGAGTTGTAAGAGGGAGCAGTATAAAACAAATGACCCATTAATAAATAAAGAATCAATGAAGTAGCTCCGTAAAGTTGGAAGTTACAAATATTGATGGTTGTTCCGAAATTTATCATAAATCTCTTTAGGCAGTTCTCTACAGGTAAGTCCATTTGTTTAGCAAGCATTTGACATTTCACTGACACTGAAAAAAAGTTACTTATGATTGGTTCTCATGCTTAAAACCATTGCAATATCCCCATGGTTCATGGTCAAAATTTGGATGTTTTAACAACCAGCATGTATTTATGATGGTTGCTGCATCCCAGCCAGCTTACAACAAGCAAAATCAGTGGGGGAAACTGAATTGAAAAACGAAACCTATACTTTTTCTGGTTCGACCTGCACTGGACATTTGCTTTGTGTTTTGTTATGTACTAGTTCGTCTTCCACTTTTGCACGCTTAATGAGGTAAAATAAATAGATCCTGGGGTCCATTTCCTGCTTCCCATTTTAAATGGGCAACATCTTTTGGGCTACAGGTAAGTCTTGATTAGTGCTGATAACGAATCCCACGAAGATTCAAATTCATACAATTCACAGTGAAATTTCTATGGAAAATAGAGTAATTGGTTCTTACACAGGCAGTGAAAATGGTTCAGCATACATTTTTATATGTTTAAGAATGAAATATAACAAAGATATACTTACCACTTACATGTATTTTTTTAACAAAGTCATAAAGTAATTATAGAAGGCAAAATGAAAAAAAAAACTATTTCTATATTCTAAATAGATTTCATAAATATTTGAAATAAATCAAGTGAACAAAAAACAAGCTGGAGAATAAGCCTGTATCCAGAATGTATCTGCTGTCTCCGGTATTCTGCTGTAGTTCTTCAGAACAAACCTCTCATTTTTTGAGCTTTCCTTGAACATAACACTTTCCCCCTCCATTTTACAAACATGACTAGTGTCTGAAAACCCCAACAGCAACTGCATGCCTGCTTGCCTCACAATAACTGAATTTTGGATTGTGTTAAATGCAACCTGGTATCAATCTATTTTATTTATCCAGTTTAGATACTGCCCGTTTCACTAAGTGACTCTGGATGGATTACAGATATAGAGGGACTAAATTGAATATGGCTGTAAGGAACCACTTCAATCCACGTGTTA